AACTGAATCAGAATGGCCTCAAGTCCGGGTTAGGAGAGGTCATCTAAGACTTTAGCAACTAAATAGTCTCTAACGTAAATGACAGCCCACCACCACGTGTGGGTCTGTCATTCCTAAAAGGAGAGAAAATCCAGGAATATGTAGAACGTCATTATGAATATCATTGCTAAGCAATGTTTCAGAAAGACATATAACATCATAAAGTGTAAGTACTGCAGTAATTATGTCAATCTTACCCTTTAAGCTACGAACATTTAAATGAGTAATGTTTAATGTTGTTGTATTCAGAGGTCCTGGAAAAGGGTGTACATCTCCGCTGCATATTAATAAATACAAGATAGTTAACCCTATTTGAACAGAGGTATCGTATATGCACAGTCTCACTAAAGATCTGGCAGTACAGTAGAATGCGATGAAGAAATTGGAAGATATGTGCAACACAAATAACCCCACCACACACCTGTGCTGAACTACATCAACTGGCATCAACAAACATGTAAAAACAATCAAATGTAGAGAGGTGGTGGCGGAAGCCTTCTAAGGTTAGACAAATGAGCAAAGAGTTGTTTTGAGATTCAGATTTACAAGTTGATAGCAAACGTGTAGTAAACCAAGCTACAATGAAGAAGAAAGAGTAAAATAAAGTAAGAAAGCACGACATGAGGTCGTCAAGTACACTGAAGGACAGACAAGTCAAAAGAAGTAAACATGCAACCTGTAGATGTTCACAAGTACATAACAACATCCATGTTATGAAATGCTTGTTATGCGAAGGAGTTATCAACACCTGGGGACTATCCCACTAGTTGACATAACACCATCCATGGTATGAAAGGCTTGTTGTGCGAGGGAGTTATCAACACCTGGGGACTCTCCCACTAGTTGACATAATAACACCATCCATGGTATGAAAGGCTTGTTGTGCGAGGTAGTTATCAACACCTGGGGACTCTCCCACTAGTTGACATAACACCATCCATGTTATGAAATGCTTGTTGTGCGAGGGAGTTATCAACACCTGGGGACTCTCCCACTAGTTGACATAACACCATCCATGTTAAGAAAAGCTTGTTGTGCGAGGGAGGTATCAACACCTGGGGACTCTCCCACTAGTTGAGAATAATATGGTTATATGCAGACAAACAAGTCAAAAGAAGTAAACATACAACCTGTAGATGTTCACAAGTACATAACAGCCTCCATGTTATGAAATACTTGTTGTGCGAGGGAGTTATCAACACCTGTAGACTCTCCCACTAGTTTATAATAATGTGGTTATATGCAACCAAACAAGTCAAAAGAAGTAAACATACAACCTGAAATAACATGTCTTGAAAGTATTAGTGTGTTAACCTTTCCCGTCTTTAACTGACACAAACATGTCACTCCTTTTTACACATCAGTGTTCATGTAAATTGGAGAAGGAGGGGCAGAATCGGTCCGGCCTATAGTATGTTTTTACTAGTCTATCTTATTTACATGCTCTCTTATCATTAGGTCGTAAATTCATTTATGAATAACAATTTGAAAAGAATTGTATTATAACTGACTTTTGAGAGAAATGTGATTTCACACTGGGGAAATGGCACCGTGCGTTCCAGAAACACTGTGCTGATTTTTCCATCACAAGGGATATATATTTCAATGTAAAAACAGTCAAGGATCTTTTTAGCCATGTTGATATTTAATTTTGAAGTATTAAAAGAAAAAGAACTGTTTATAAGTGTTAAGAAAGATATGTTATAGACCGATATATTATAGTTCCGAAAGTGTTGGGATAATCGTTCACTAGTTTTTGGTGGTCAAGATGCTGTTTTTTCCTCCCCTCCTGTAATGCTTACGTCTTCTTCTTCTTCTTCATCGGGGGCATCACAGAAACTACCTGGATATTTATCCCAGTATTATCTTGTAATACCTGTGGTATCTGCAGTATCTGCATAAATTAGTATAGATTTGGATACCACTTCTGGATATTATGTGTTCGCGTCGACCAAATCATCAGTGACATGTTACTGTTTTTCGTGACAAAGCTGTCTTTTTGTAATTGGTGGTTGGGTTCCTGTTTAGGAACATTCCAAGTATTTAAAGTTTGATGTCTCGTGTTTATCATCAGAATGTATCCGACAAAAATCAAGCTTATCCCTTTTAGACTTGGGGTAAAATGTAAATCAGTTTGTGTGCATTAAAACCATCTGAAGCGTGCAGGCAAGATTCTAACTAAGATATAGTTTGTATGTGTGTGTAAGAGCGTGTCAAGCAATGACACATGACATCTGTTATTTATCTTGAATGCGACCTTCTGGTTTGGAAAAGAAATTACACGATTGTAGGAAAATGCCTACTTACAGGCATGTACATAGACATATGGGAGAGATTGTAATCCGCATGAAGATGTCAACATTATTTATTTTGATGTTTTAAAGATTAAAGATGAAAATGCAGCAGAGAAGGTTCGGGTGATCCTTGCATCCTCACCAGCTCAGGGCCTCTACACGCAGCCCAGACAGCAAATGGGACTTCTCCCAGGAAAATACTGCCTAGTCGAACCCACCAAGAACACTGCAGCCTTCTGCATTACCCAGAGTGTCAGAAGGGCTGTGCTCCCAGTGGAGAACCCGGGCACTCTCCTGATCTGCGCCAAGAGATCAGGGGGTACCAAACCAAGGACACCGAGAACAATGGGGAGCCTGACGACAGTGTACTTGGGATGCAAGCGAGAAAATTCTAAGGCGTATTATTATTATTGGATATTAATACATACAGTACATATCCACGCACTAGTGCATGCTCAAGGCGCTGGTATTTTTTGAAGATGTCAACATACTGTTAAAGTGTAGGAATTATGCGCTGTAATCTCCTTACATTTATGCATGCTTGAACTGGGAGGTTCTGACGGACGACTGAGGTCCCCGAGTTCCACCATCATCTCAGTAGCAGTATACGTATCGGGTTACCGAGTTAAATCTACGAGAAACACTGGCCAAATACATCAAATCTGTGCTATAAAATGATCTTTTTCTTTCATGTTTTCCCTTTAGTTATAAGTAACTGTCAAGATCACATGTGGTTGAGCTGTATATACGTTGGATGTTTCTTATAGTGTGGTTGAACTGTATGTGTCGGTTGAGTGAGTGTACGTGCAGTTGGGCTGTGTGCGAAGTGAGATTGCACGTGAAAAGCAGGCAGTTTCTGCGACTTAGTCATAAAAGTGGACGGTTTGATGTGACGGGTGCAGTCGTGATATGATAGAGCGGAGCGACGGTGTGAAAGCTGAGCCAGGAAAATTATCATGGCGTGAGTAAATTTTGCATTTAATTATGGAAATTGTTAGATTGTATTTTTATGTCCATAATGTTGAATTGAATAGCACAGTGTCGGTCATAGGTTGATATTTAAACATCACTCAGGCGAAATGTAAACATGGCAATTGTTGGTCACTGTAGTGAGTATGTATAGGCATAATCACTTGTCTGTGTTGAATAACACGTGTATGTTATTCTAAGTGTAATTATGCTGACATTGCTCTGTGTATTATCATTCTGAGTATTTAATACTCTGTATTGTGTTGAATGATTGTGTATTGAGTATATTACACTCGAGTAGTAAGTGTGTATAATCATTCGAATTGTGAATTGAATGATTAGTGTACATTGAGTATGTGACGCTCAAGACGTAAACAAGTGTGTGTAACAAGTACTTTGTCTTTGTGTAGTGTCGGGGCCGTATTGGCTTGACGGCCTGTGTGCTGGCTAGTTGAGTGTGGCGGGTCAACACCAAGTATGCTGACCAGCGAAGTAATGCCTCTCACCAGTGCCTCTCACCAGTGTTGTGACCGGACGTTGTCCAGTGCCAAGTATGGAGGGCAGGGTAGCCTCAAGGTATTGCCGGTTGAGTGTGGCGGGTCAACTCCAAGTATGCTGACCAGCTAAGCGATGCCTCTCACCAGTGCCTCTCACCAGTGTTGTGACCGGACGTTGTCCAGTGACAAGTATGGAGGGCAGGGTAGCCTCAGGGTATCGTCAGACAGGGTGTGACCGTGTTCGTGAGGACGTGAACTGTACATACCATTAATCTGTGCAACCTCCTGTATAGGAGCCGATCGTCAAATAGATATGGACTGGAATATTACATTTTGTAAATGTTTCATTTGTATGCCTATATTTGATTTGTGTATTGTGTATAGGAGTATGAGTGTATTGGGTACCGCTGGTGTAATGGAGTACTGAGTGTGTATTTGAGTGATGTACTGAAGGTGTATTTGAGTGATATATGACTGAGATGTTTGGATGAATGTATTTGAGGTGAGAAAGGGGTGTGCAAGCTGAATATTTGAACTTTTCTTGATTTTCCATTTCATTTTGTTTTGAAATAAATTATATTTATTTCAACACCACCTTTGTTTTATCTCGCATTGTGACATTTTGGTGGCAGCGGTGGGATTTGTTTTTTTGTCACATGTGAGATATGTAGGTCCATTTAGTAATTTCCAAATTACTTTTCGTATGAGTGTGGTACGCTCGTATATTGGGTGTCGTGCGCCTGGTTTCCTTCACATTTTTTCATTGCTTGGTACTAGTGGCTGTAGGGTGCTGAGGTATAACGGGTCCCTTTGTTCAAACCTTACCTTGTATTAGATAGTATACATTTTTACCTGTAGATACTTTGCTTAGTTTCACTATGGATTTAGTGGGCATATGTAAATTGGGCAAGGAGTTAGGTTATACAGGGGAGAATTTACAGCAGTTTGTAAGGGAACAGACAGATTTAGAGAGGGAGAGGGAGAAGGATAGATTAGAACGGGATGACCGGGAAAGGGTTCGGGAGATGAAGAAACTAGAGATAGAGAAACTTAGATTGGAGAATGAGGATAAGGAAAAGGAAAGGGTTATGAGGTTAGAGAGCATGAAGTTAGACTTAGAGGAGAAGAAGCTGCAGTTAGAGGGGGGAGAAGGGTACTGTAGGTGAAGGTATAAAGCAGGAAGGTAAGCCTCCATCTGTTACTTATGTGCCTAAGATGCCACCTTTTGATGACCAGAGAGATAACATCGATGCTTATTTACAAAGGTTTGAGCGTGTAGCCAAGTCACAGGCATGGCCAGAGGTTCGGTGGGCAACCTTTCTCAGCACCTTATTGAAGGGTAAGGCACTTGACGTTTACTCTCGATTAGACCCCGACAAGGTGGAGGTCTACAAGGAGGTAAAGCAAGCATTGCTGAAGCGGTATGAGATGACTGAGGAAGGGTTCCGACAGAAGTTCAGGACAGTTCGGATAGAGATGGGTGAGACTTTTACTCAGTTCTTAGTTAGAGTTGGGAATTATTTTGATAGGTGGGTAGATCTTAGTGGCAGTGCTAGGACTTGGGAGGGAATTAGAGATTTGTTGTTGAGGGAGCAGCTTTTGCATGGTGTTAGTACAGGCCTTTGTATTTTCTTGAAGGAGAGGAAGCCAGAGTCTGTTGGGGAAATGGCTAGGTTAGCAGAACATTTTGTGGAGGCTAGGGAAGGTGTTACGGGTAGATCTGTTCATCCAGTTAGTCAGGGTGGTGATAGGTTCAAGAAGGGCTCAGATAGTCAGGTGAAGAAGTCAGTACAGAGTGAGAAGAGGGATTCCAGAACGTTTGTGCCGATGCATGAGCGGAAATGTTATGGCTGTGGTGATTTGGGACATATGGCATCTTCTTGTTCTAAGTGGAAGTCCAAACTTAAGGGCAATACAGGTGCTGGTAGTGTTGTCATTGAGAGTGTCAGTGATGTGTCCGGTGAGCCAGTTGTAGAAGTAGGAGAGAAGAGTGAGATAGATTCTCAAGGTGTGGAAGGAAGTGATACTAGTGTTACAGATCATTCAGGTGAGGATGACGCTCTAGTGACGTCAGGTACAACGTCAGGTACGATGTGTGGTATGTGTGGGACTATGCCAGTGCGTGTTGGTAAATTGTGTGGCCATTCAGTGAATGTCTTGCGTGATTCTGGCTGTAATGGAGTTGTTGTCAAGAGATCTCTTGTGGATGAGGATTGCTTTGTGGAAGGTGAGCTTCATAACTGTACCATGGGTGATGGTAGGGTTTGTACTGTACCAGTAGCATGGGTTCCTATAGATTCACCATTTTACAAGGGCACAGTTAAGGCAGCATGTTTGGAGACTCCTTTGTTTGATGTTATGTTAGGGAATATTCCAGGTGCAAGGGCTCCTGAGGATCCATTACCTGAAGAGGAAGTAGTAGAGGTTGTTGAAGCTGTTGGTGCTGTAGAGACTAGGCGTCAGAGGAAGGTTAGGGAGCAAGGTATGAAACCAATGAAAACATTTCAGTCTGTTGGCATTTCCTTGAGTAGGCTAGAGTTTATTCAGAAACAGAAGGAGGATTCTGGGTTAGACAAAGTCCGGAAGTTGGTGCAAGATGGTAGACAGAAGATGACGGAGAAGGGTGTGTCACGATATTTCAGTGAGAATGAGATGTTGTATCGTGAGTATGTGAGTCATGATGGTTTGGCTGTTGTTCAGGCTGTTGTTCCTACAGAGTTGAGGTCAGAGGTTATGAAAGTGTGTCATGAATCTTTGATGGGTGGTCACATGGGTGTGAAGAAAACGCTGGACAGGGTTATTTCACAATTTTATTGGCCAGGTGTGCAAGGTGATGTTAGGAGGCACTGTTTGTCTTGTGATGTTTGTCAGCGTACGATTCCAAAGGGGAAGGTTGGCAAGGTTCCTTTAGGTCAGATGCCATTAATTTCTACACCTTTCGAAAGGATAGCCGTAGACTTGATTGGTCCTTTATATCCAGTAACTGATAGAGGCAATCGGTACATCCTAACAGTTGTTGACTATGCGACTAGGTATCCTGAAGCTGTAGCTCTTCCGAGGATAGAAACTGAGTATGTTGCAGAGGCTCTTTTGGAGATATTTAGTCGGGTAGGTGTCCCCAAGGAGATGTTGTCTGATATGGGTGCTCAATTTACGTCATCAGTCATGAAGGAGGTTAGTAGATTGTTGTCCCTCAAGCAGTTGACCACCACTCCATACCATCCTATGTGTAATGGGTTAGTTGAGAGGTTTAATGGCACTCTGAAGTTGATGTTAAAGCGGCTAAGTGCTGAGAAACCAACTGATTGGGATCGTTATTTATCAGCTTTGCTTTTTGCTTACAGGGAAGTACCTCAGGAAAGTCTAGGATTTTCTCCATTCGAGTTGTTGTATGGCAGGAAAGTGAGAGGGCCTGTTCAGGTGTTGAGGGAATTGTGGACAAAAGATATTCCAGATCCAGAGACTAGGACAACCTATGAGTATGTGTTGGACTTACAGAATAGGTTAGAGGAGACAATTGAGGTAGCTCATCAATCTTTGGTTAAGGCATCAGGCAGGTACAGGAAGCATTTCAATCATAAGGTGAAGGTACGCCAGATGAAAGCGGGTGATAAGGTGTTAATTCTGTTACCTACCAATCACAACAAGTTATTGTTACAATGGAAAGGTCCTTTTGTGATAGAGGAGAGTTTTGGTTCTGACAATTATCGCGTTAGAGTTGGGGATAAGTTGAAGACTTATCATGCTAACTTACTCAAGAAGTATATTGACAGGGAATCTAGTAGCTGTAGTACAGTGGTCAGTGATGTGAGTGTGAGTTTACCACAGTATGTTTGTACAGGCATTGTTGATGTGGGAGATGACAATGTGGAGTCAGATGTAGAAGGGGATTTGCCTGAGATTGTTTCTCCACCTTTGAAGGCTAAGGAAACTTATCTTGATGTGAACATTTCTCAAGATTTGTCGGATGTGCAGAAGACAGACGTTAGGGAGTTGTTGGCAGAATTTTCAGATGTTTTGACAGATTTGCCGGGGAGGACCAACTGTATGGAATATAAGGTCAGGTTGACTTCTTCAGATCCAGTTAGGTCACGTCCTTATCCAATACCTCATCATATGAGAGACCGTTGCAGTAGAGATACAGACTATGTTGGACTTAGGTGTTATTGAACCTTCAGATTCACCTTATGCTTCTCCAATTGTGCTAGTGAAGAAACCAGATGGTAGTTACAGATTTTGTTCAGATTACAGAGCCATTAATGGTATCACGGTTTTTGATTCAGAACCAGTCACTTTGGCAGAAAGTCTCTTTGCAAGGCTTAGTAAGTGTCAGTATCTGTCTAAGTTTGATATCAGTAAAGCTTATTGGCAGATTCCGATGGAGGAGGAAAGTAAGGCATATACAGCGTTTATCACTCCAGATGGGCTATATCAGTGGACAGTTATGCCGTTTGGTATGGTTAATGCTTCAGCAGTCTTCACAAGGTTAATGAGGAAAGTCCTTAGAGGGGTAGATCATGTAGACAGTTACATTGATGATGTGATTGAAGGAACTGATAGATGGGCAGATCACATGGTAAGTTTGAGAGCTATTTTCAGTCGTTTACGTCAGTACAATATCACTGCCAGACCCTCAAAAGTGATGATTGGGTACCATACTATACCATTCCTGGGACATATTGTCGGTCAAGGTAATATTTCTCCTGACAGTAAGAAGTTAGCAGCAATCTTGGAATTGTCACGACCAACCACAAAGAAACAGGTGAGATCTTTGATTGGTTTAACTGGTTACTACAGGCGGTTTATTCCAAACTTTGCAGCCATTGCAGTTCCACTGACAGATTTGACAAAGTAGGGTAAGCCTAATGTTGTTGTTTGGACTGATAGTCAGGAACAGGCATTCCAGACGTTGAAGAAGCTCATGGCAAGTGCACCAATTCTAAAGTTGCCGGATTTGGAAAAGACATTTCTGTTGCGGACAGATGCATCAGATGTTGGCATTGGAGCAGTGCTATTACAAGAACATGAGGGTGAGAAGTTTCCATTATGTATGTCAGTCGGAAGTTGCTGGACCGAGAGAAGGCATATTCTACCATTGAGAAAGAGTGTTTGGCTATTGTGTGGGGTGTACAGAAATTGAGCCGGTTTTGTATGGGAGGAATTTCTGTTAGAGACAGATCACCAGCCTCTAGTGTGGATGACCAAGGCTAAGTTGGCAAACGGGCGAGTTATGAGGTGGGCCTTAGCTTTGCAGCCGTACAGATTCTGTATCAGAGCGGTGAAGGGTGTGGAGAATGTCGGGGCCGATCTCATGAGCCGGTGTCCACCGTGAGTTTATTTTCCTGTATTCAAAACTCCAATGTGATCTGTCCTAGCGTATATAATTATTTTGCAAATAATTATCAAGGATGGGAGGTGTGTCAAGATCACATGTGGTTGAGCTGTATATACGTTGGATGTTTCTTATAGTGTGGTTGAACTGTATGTGTCGGTTGAGTGAGTGTACGTGCAGTTGGGCTGTGTGCGAAGTGAGATTGCACGTGAAAAGCAGGCAGTTTCTGCGACTTAGTCATAAAAGTGGACGGTTTGATGTGACGGGTGCAGTCGTGATATGATAGAGCGGAGCGACGGTGTGAAAGCTGAGCCAGGAAAATTATCATGGCGTGAGTAAATTTTGCATTTAATTATGGAAATTGTTAGATTGTATTTTTATGTCCATAATGTTGAATTGAATAGCACAGTGTCGGTCATAGGTTGATATTTAAACATCACTCAGGCGAAATGTAAACATGGCAATTGTTGGTCACTGTAGTGAGTATGTATAGGCATAATCACTTGTCTGTGTTGAATAACACGTGTATGTTATTCTAAGTGTAATTATGCTGACATTGCTCTGTGTGTTATCATTCTGAGTATTTAATACTCTGTATTGTGTTGAATGATTGTGTATTGAGTATATTACACTCGAGTAGTAAGTGTGTATAATCATTCGAATTGTGAATTGAATGATTAGTGTACATTGAGTATGTGACGCTCAAGACGTAAACAAGTGTGTGTAACAAGTACTTTGTCTTTGTGTAGTGTCGGGGCCGTATTGGCTTGACGGCCTGTGTGCTGGCTAGTTGAGTGTGGCGGGTCAACACCAAGTATGCTGACCAGCGAAGTAATGCCTCTCACCAGTGCCTCTCACCAGTGTTGTGACCGGACGTTGTCCAGTGCCAAGTATGGAGGGCAGGGTAGCCTCAAGGTATTGCCGGTTGAGTGTGGCGGGTCAACTCCAAGTATGCTGACCAGCTAAGCGATGCCTCTCACCAGTGCCTCTCACCAGTGTTGTGACAGGACGTTGTCCAGTGACAAGTATGGAGGGCAGGGTAGCCTCAGGGTATCGTCAGACAGGGTGTGACCGTGTTCGTGAGGACGTGAACTGTACATACCATTAATCTGTGCAACCTCCTGTATAGGAGCCGATCGTCAAATAGATATGGACTGGAATATTACATTTTTTGTAAAGGTTTCATTTGTATGCCTATATTTGATTTGTGTATTGTGTATAGGAGTATGAGTGTATTGGGTACCGCTGGTGTAATGGAGTACTGAGTGTGTATTTGAGTGATGTACTGAAGGTGTATTTGAGTGATATATGACTGAGATGTTTGGATGAATGTATTTGAGGTGAGAAAGGGGTGTGCAAGCTGAATATTTGAACTTTTCTTGATTTTCCATTTCATTTTGTTTTGAAATAAATTATATTTATTTCAACACCACCTTTGTTTTATCTCGCATTGTGACAGTAACTGCACATCTGCACTTAAAAAATGTCAACGAAACAAATAAAAAACTAATAATTTAATGTACGTAAATGTGTGTGTAAATAAGCTGTTGTGTGGACTTTCTGACTGGTGCCACTACAGGGCAGGAGAATAAACGTCCCTCGTCAGTCCACAAAACAGTCACGTAGTCCTTCATTCAATAGCGTGAGTGACGGGAACTACATCTACTGTTACCTACTCAGTCACCCGACACTCGGTGGAGGTATATTTCATTATATTAAGAAACTACTGAACTACATATTTGTAAGCAACATGTTACTTCCGTGTTGAGCTACCAGGGTACACGGGACGACAAACTGAAATCTCAGCAGGTATGTACAATGTATATACTCGTCACAAAACATCTAATGTGTCCACGTTTTCTTCTTTCACCATGTTGAACATGTCAACTGTGAACGCCCATTCTACATGCCAGTGTTTAGGAGTAACCCACAATATCTTCATCTATACTCGTATACATTGACCCTGTTTCTGCTGTTACTTGGCTTCCACTGATACATATATATGTATTCATCTACTTTGACCCACCGGTACACGTGCATATGTCACAGGTGTACAAATTATCTGGACGTGATGGATTAATTAAACACATACCATCCGAGGTATTGTTACTAGCTGAAACTGGGGGGACTGGGATTGTTCATTGGTGTAACAGCAATGCAGAGTTGTGTCCCTTGGTCCACACAAGTCGCCAGCTTCTGTTTACACCAGTATTGGAACTACATAAAACATAGAACACATAGTCGTGTGTGTGTGTGTGTGTGTGTGTTGTGTGTGTGTGTGTGTGTGTGTGTGTGTGTGTGTGTGTGTGTGTGTGTGTGTGTGTGTGTGTGTGTGTGTGTGTGTGTGTGTGTGTGTGTGTGTGTGTGTGTGTGTGTGTGTATGTGTGTGTGTGTGTGTGTGTGTGTGTGTGTGTGTGTGTGTGTGTGTGTGTGTGTGTGTGTGTGTGTGTGTGTGTGTGTGTGTGTGTGTGTGTGTGTGTGTGTGTGTGTGTGTGTGTGTGTGTGTGTGTGTGTGTGTGTGTGTGTGTGTGTGTGTGTGTGTGTGTGTGTGTGTGTGTGTGTGTGTGTGTGTGTGTGTGTGTGTGTGTGTGTGTGTGTGTGTGTGTGTGTGTGTGTGTGTGTGTGTGTGTGTGTGTGTGTGTGTGTGTGTGTGTGTGTGTGTGTGTGTGTGTGTGTGTGTGTGTGTGTGTGTGTGTGTGTGTGTGTGTGTGTGTGTGTGTGTGTGTGTGTGTGTGTGTGTGTGTGTGTGTGTGTGTGTGTGTGTGTGCGTATAAACATATATAAACAAAGCACACATGCTGAGTGAGAAACAAATAGTCCCAAGCAACATAATTTCAGTTTGTCAGATGATTGCCGCACAGAATATTTGTGTTTGTGTGTGCATGAAACTCCGAGTTACAAATATGAAATACTCTTGTGCATTAAACATACATAAATACATCAGAAAACAGAAAATGACCCACTTGAAGTCAAACAACTCCAGTGGGCTTTCTATGAAAACACCTTTTGATAAGCATGTAAAGGTAGCTTATGTGAAAGGAGACGCATGCGATTTGTTGGCAAGGGATGAATGTGTAATACCCCTGTACACAAAACACGAGGCAAAGACGAGCAAACAATGCAGGGTAAACTGGGTCGCATTGTGCAGACTGTATCATATAACATGTCATTGTCAAATGCGTGCATTAAAACCATCTGAAGCGTTGAAGCCAGATTCTAACTACCGATACCCATGCAAGGACCCAAAAGGTGTCTTGCTTGTGAACGTGCCATCTGTTGTGTATCTTGAACGTGTCCACTGTTTCAAGATGGACACAGGTGTAGGAGTTTTGTTGTTCTGCATTTTTGCAGGTGCTTCGATCGTCCTGTGTATTGTATAATCATTGTTAGTTCTAATCATTACTGAAGACAGTAACTTCTGTCACAAGGTCACAAGGACAGCCAGAGTGTTATCCATTAAACGTGTATATTGCATTTACGCACACAGAAGCATATCAGATATATCAGAAAGAGAGACCATTTTGCAAAAGTTACAAGGTGATTTATTTACTCGGACAGCTGATTATGTTGTAAATGTGAAAGTATTAGTGATCCCCATGTGTTGTAACCAGAGATATTGAGTCCCAAGTCCACCATTTTGTTTTTCTTTTATGATGCACCTGATCTATAGTTGTTCAAACACCTGGATGACCTCATTGTGTGTGTGTGTGTGTGTGTGTGTGTGTGTGTGTGTGTGTGTGTGTGTGTGTGTGTGTGTGATCTTGTACTTACCTCGTGACGCAGGTGTGTCACCTCATTACGCAACAACTTCGGCAGGCTATAACATCACACCAGGGCTAGTTTCTGTCTATAGCATTTGGAAACACAATTGAATGTGTATTATGTAGTAATTATTGCATACAATAATTTTTTTTTTATCTGAGTGTATAAATTTACCTGACCCCCTCCACCTCCTCCTACACTGTGACAGAACACCAGGCTCTTCCATCAATCACATGCCCCGCCCTCTGTAGACCCGGGTGTAGCTATAGGTGGTTACTCAATGAAACAGTCTTCAGCAGTGGAGCCGTGCTTCAGGGACAAGCTGACAGATACAAGACAGGCTCCTACAGATGTCAGACTAATAATACTTACGGGAGTAGTGACAGTGTTACAGTTAGTATTGATGTTCAGTGTAAGTACCAGGTCTACACTGGTGACAGTGTTACTGTCAGTGTTGATGTTCACTTTAAGTATATAGTCTACACTGGTGACAGTGTTACAGTCAGTGTTGATGTTCACTTTAAAGGTCACATGCAACCAAAAAATCAAACATAATTAAAACACAATTATCACTTATTCATGACATATAATATACATTGCTGGTTATGAAAAAACATATAAACAAAATTATAAGCGTACAATCGCAAATCAAAAGTGCAATATTGTGTACTTCGGTTTACTTCCCAAGAAACGAAGCAGCCGGGATACCGAACCCAGTCAGAGCGGGTGGGTGTGCACTCAAGTGTAACGGCTGGTTCATTTGCAGATGCCCTCACGGGTCATTGTGTGTGTATATATAGAGATGTTGGGTTTTGTAAATACATGCTCATTTTTTGTGTATAACATTTTGCAATCAACAGAAATCATAACATGTCATGTGTTCAAGTATCACACCTGCCTGTCTGTGTAATTACATAATGTGACAGAGACCGAACTCGGGCCATAAATCAATGCATTTTGTTTATGGTGTACAGCCTGATTGGTGTTAAGTTCAAATTGCATGTGGTCAGTGATAGCAGCTGTGTATTGAATATTGTCATTAGCAGACAGGCAGGCAGACACACAGGTGTCAATAAAACAAGACATTGAGTTTAGTCTGTGACAACGACATATCTATATCACAGTTGGAAATTCTGTCAACGCTAAATAATGGCATTGCTTTTAAGTATCGAACTGAGAAAGTGACTCGGTAAGAAGAACGTGTGGTGAAATAGACAAATGAAATTATATAAACAGTTAATTTACTGTCATAACATATAAAAAGCTCGCGCCTGTGAGATATCAACAAAACATTAGAAAAATAGCTCACACCAAAGCCTTCACCGAGTATTCACCGGACAACCGCTTCCAAGCTGCGCGAACCTACTTCACTGCGCACGTGCTATAAGCGCAGCCCAGCTGTTGAAACCCGTTTTCCCCAGAAAAGTCTGGGGGAAATTAGTGAAACGTTTGAACTCCGATTTCGCGCGGTTTTTTTCATCGCGTTATTTTTCAACTTTATAAGTTGAATTTGCATTTTTGACGATTTGTTTCGGTAAGTCCATACCTAAAGGTATCAGAATCTGCAAAGTTTTGTTTTACGTTGCATGTGACCTTTAAGTATGGAGTCTACACTGGTGACAGTGTTACAGTCAGTGTTGATGTTCAGTGTAAGTATATAGTCTACACTGGTGACAGTGTTACAGTCAGTGTTGATGTTCAGAGTAAGTATATAGTCTACACTGGTGACAGTGTTACAGTCAGTGTTGATGTTCAGTGTAAGTATGTAGTCTACACTGGTGACAGTGTTACAGTTAATGGTGATGTTCAGTGTAAATATATAGTTTACACTGGTGACAGTGTCACAGTAAATGTTGATGTTCAGTGTAAGTATATAGTTTGCACTGGTGACAGTGTCACAGTAAATGTTGATGTTCAGTGTAAGTATATAGTTTACACTGGTGAAAGTGTCACAGTAAATGTTGATGTTCAGTGTAAGTATGTAGTCTACACTGGTGACAGTGTTACAGTCAGTGTTGATGTTCAGTGTAAGTATATAGTTTGCACTGGTGACAGTGTTACAGTAAATGTTGATGTTCAGTGTAAGTATATAGTTTACACTGGTGACAGTGTTACAGTAAATGTTGATGTTCAGTGTAAGTATGTAGTCTACACTTGTATGTTGCTGCACAGTTGTTCTTTTTCCTAATGAAAGAGGGCATGTTTGTCTGTCGAACATCGGTATTTATGCCATATTCATGCACGTGCATTGGGACCACAATGACGTGTTTCACGTTTTGAAAAGTGTCCGAGTCATACGAAGTTTCCGGACAGCTGCGTTGTTACCGGGACCATGTTCGTTTTGGCGAATGTTTCTGCTTGAGTTCAAACCTGTACCACTGTGTTTGTTAAACAATTATTTTTGTCCGATAGTGTATTACCTTTCGCCTTCTGTGTAAATAGGGCAATGAAATCATTTCCTATTTTCTGTCGCAGACGGTCCTTCTGTGTCTGTTGCTGCCCCCACTCAGACTGTTACAGAGGGACAGACTCTGACTGCGACCTGCTCTGTCAACTCTAAATCTGCAATATTTGTGACTTGGACAAGGAAAGATGACAGCAGCTTTACTCCTCAGACTGGATCTACACTGGCCATCAGTAACATACAGAGATCACAGGCAGGGACATATGTGTGTACAGCTACCAACACCCTCAGTCCTTGTGTTAGGGGGACAGCTGTCCTTGTGGTACCACATCCTGACTCTGTGGAGGTGACAGCGGATATTTAGTGTATGTGTCATTGTTAGAATACTGGACATATGTGTGTACAGCTACCAGCACCCTCAGTCCTTGTGGGGGGACATCTGTAGTGAGATCTGACTCTGTGGAGGTGACAGCGGATGTACAGTGTAAGTATCATTGTTAGAATACTGGACATATGTGTGTACAGCTACCAACACCCTCAGTCCTTGTTTTGGGACATCTGTAGTGAGATCTGACTCTGTGGAGATGACAGCGGATGAACAGTGTAAGCGTCATTGTTAGAATACTGGACATATGTGTGTACAGCTACCAACACCCTCAGACATCTGTAGTGAGATCTGACTCTGTGGAGGTGACAGCGGATGAACAGTGTAAGCGTCATTGTTAGAATACTGGACATATGTGTGTACAGCTACCAACACCCTCAGTCCTTAACGTAGTGCCATTTGGGTTGTCTTTATCATTTTTGATCATAACTGATTCATCAGTGGCTTGAGTATCGCTATGTTGTTTAGGTTCGTATCCGAGAAGAAACTGCCCTTGCTATTCTTTTCTGAGAGCCATTTCCATTATTGTGAACGACAGGAGTGTGATTTACAATGATCAATTTTACTGATTTGTCGATCACTTCCTTGTTATTAGAGGGTGTTAGATGTGGGCCTACATTTTACCAGAGAACTTTCTGAATCACAGAGTATTATCTGATGTTGAAGTAACGCATATGTGAGACAAGAAATAAGGTCATTTATCTGTTCCTATTTGTTGATATACAGCAGTTACTACATACGATACCACCAACCATACCGAAAGCATCAAAGTGAAAAGAAAAATGATGGTCCACTTAATTTTAAGTCTGTAGTTTTATGAGTTTTGAAACCATAAATGTCAGCATTTTTAAAAACATCTGTTAACTGTAGTTATGCAAAAGATCGGAACATGACCTCTCCAACAAAGCTGTAGACAGGCAGCAAAGTAGTTAGAAATGTAGTCCCACATTAAAGATTTCCCTTCTCTTCTTGTCAGATGGGCCCACGCATCTAAAACTGAGTAAATCTTCCCTTCTTACATTTCCAAAAATACAAATGAAAAGCCTACAAAGAAAGAAAACACACATTCTGAAAATTATGTTTATACGAAACAAAGCAAAAACACGCATGGGAACAGTATCGTATTCACACTGAAGTTGACATGGCTCTTCATACACAAATACACAATTCTAAAAGTCTCATCCAATAACTTCAAAGATATCGCCTGAAACCGTTCCACAAAAGGAATATACTTTCATGAATATTAATGAATCTACATCGTAGTTAGGTGGGGCAAGTGGGCCTGTCTTTTGCTTTACAATTTGTTTTACTTTATTGGGACTCTTATTGCAGTCTGTATAAATGAGTGACTGTAAGAAGATACAGGTTCTCTGTTTTCAGGTCTGCGGTCCTTTATCGTTGATTTAAAAACCGAACGCGGTTAGCTGAATCTTCACTCTAGCATGACTGACAAACGTTCTAAAACCGGACTCTTTGGCGCAAGAACACAAGGCGTAAAGGGGCCTTCTTCCTAGAAATTGCTTTGAATCATCCAGTGGAGGGACAGGTTGTGAACATCATAAGACATTTTCAACAGCATAAATGCTTTATTGTAGGAACCAATATCCTTTTACTTGTAACAAGAAGCATAAATAGATAAAAATACAGTTTACAGCGAAATATTAATCTCCCCAACTGTATGACAATCGACTCGCCCCAATTCAAGCCATGAACTCCCTAAGTTTAGTCGCCGCCAACTTTATGCACGGAAGTAATTGACAACCACGATACTATCCCGAATTTGGAAAAGACCCGATATGCCAGCTTTTATGTGGGAAACATCGACAGTGGAAACGGAAGGTCTGCGCATTACGGCCGGGACGTGTGGGCTGAATTTGTCTTGTCGAAGTCTTGCCCGCTAGATCTAGACCTGGTTTGAAGTATGGCGGAATACTGCCGCTTTTGCGCTGCTGACGAGTTTTCCTGCTTTGAAGTTGCTTCAATGGGATTAGGCTCAAGAAATTCTGCGTCAAACCTTTCGCTTTTTACTTCAAAAAACATCAATGATGTTGCCGAGGTAGAAATCACAGATGTCCGACATGTTTGTTTACAAATAAAAGGTTCCACGAGTTCATTGTATTCATACGCGGTGAATCGGTCACTTTAATAAGCGGTCCTTAGACTGCCATTTAAGTAATTTATTTTAAGTTCCCAGCCAATCAGAATCGAGTATCACACCATGTCGTACTAGAATTCATGTTTAGAACATTCGCCCGTACGATATAGTCAGGGAGAGTAACTTCCTTTGAACTTATGACAATGCCTCTCAAAGAGGCACTGACAATGCGGTTTCACCATATCATAATGCGTTAAATAAAACACACATAGCAAATGATACGTCCTAATAACAACATTAACCTGGCCTTGTTGTGGGGTCTACAAACAATGCAATGCAGCCTTTTTTATCCTATTTTTTTTAGATCAAGCGAACATAAGCATGTTCACCGCCAATTTACGAAGTGGCTCAGTGACAGTTAACGAGTCTGATGCAGTGGCATTCCGATGCCAGACTGACAGTAACCCAAGGTCAGTCATCACGCTACTGAATGGATCTGATGAGCTGATAAGGACAGATAACTCCCTGACGACAGAATATAGACTGAAGTCTGCAGAATGTAGACAAAGAGGGAACTACTTCTGTACTGCCACTAACAACATCAGGGCACCTGTCACCCAGATGTTAGAGTTGCTGGTACGATGTGAGTACATGCTATTGTAAGATACTTTACTCTTTCATCCTCATATTACTATTGTAACACTTACTAAGTCAACGTCTTTTTTTCATTTATTATTTAAACACAGTTCTTGACCAACCACAGAAGACGATTAACACATGTGACTCAATGGATCCTTGGTTTTCATTCTTTGAGTCATTGCCTAATGTTTTGCATAAGGTTCTCCTTGACAAGGTGAGCTCTCAACACATTTATAATGAATTTCCATTCACTTCGTTAGGTTCTCCACGACTTGATGTCTCAGAGTCCCAGCCACTCAAGTTCGCTGCTACACTGGGTGGTGACGTGTCTGTGTCTGTGTCAGTCCTAGCCTACCCCCTTCCTACATTCACCTGGAGGAGATCCATCAGCACCAGCCAGGACCTCACTGGTTCCTCCAGCCCTGTCTCAGACATCTCAGTCACTGCCAGACTACACCTTACTAACCTCCAGCAGCAGGACTTCGGGGACTACAGTCTGACAGTTGACAATGGAGTGGGCGGGTTAGTGACATACGGAGTCAGCGTAGTGCGAGCAGGTGAGTGGCTTACATGTGATACCGCTTTAACGATTCACCCTTTACAACCAACTTCCCCAGCCTTGCGTCATTCGGGGTGATATATTGATATATAAAAGCATAGGCCACTTTGGGGCAATACAGTAAGGGAAGATACTGGCACTGAATTAATTTTAGAGCTGGATAGTGCATGATGACGTGAAAGTGATTTTGCATCTGTTCGAACACTGTTGTCTCTTCATCACCAAGATGGAAGTAAGATGGGAGCATAACCAAACATATATTAAACTCTCCACATAAATTAACTAAAAACTGAATTCTGTATTGGACACGTGTGTACGTGTGTGTGCGTGTGTGTGTGTGTGTGTGTGTGTGTGTGTGTGTGTGTGTGTGTGTGTGTGTGTGTGTGTGTGTGTGTGCGTGCGTGCGTGCGTGCGTGTGTGTGTGTGTGTGTGTGTACGATGTCCACGTTTATAATGCATTCCACTGTTTTGTACATGCAGCTTGCTGATGAAAGTGGTCCATAATGCGAAGGATAGGTATAGTTTCGTTCAGTTTTTGGTATGATAGCATCATGCTACTTAAATACGATAATGTTCGATAGTTTTCAAAAGCAAGATTCTGGTAACTGTTTCAGCAATTGATAATGCATTCAAATATATCCATGTACTATGCATGTGAACATTAGTTATTTAGTTAATTAGTTGCTAATGGCTGTACCTTCAAGCGATGTTGTAGCTTTAATTATGTGTCCCTCTCAGCCTCCATTTTCTTTTTTCAGCGTCCATTATTTTTCAGTTGTAGTATTTGTGTTCATGTTAGCTACTCGCATAAGTTTAACACCCATCAGTGCAAGAGGGATGGTGTAAATCCTGAAGTTAGAGTACCATCAAAATGGCTAAAGTATTCTTAAGTCCTCATAGTTCCTTTTGTGATGTCCTAACTCCACTTTCTGGTGGACTGCTGCCCGTATGCATTATGCATTGGTTTGAATAGCGATTTGAAGTATATTGACGGAATACCATATTTGTTGTCCCGTCTTGATAATGCTGGATTAGTGCTAAAAGCGGCTTCACTGCTAGTGTTAAATCTATATCCGTGATAGTCCTGTCGTGTTACTATCGTTTGTCCAGAGGTTTCATAATGTACGTTTTTTGAACTGGCAATGTTTGAGTCACGATGTGACTTAAATACTGCCGATGTGACTGCAATTTAAAACTCAGTCATTCATTTAGGAATCACCTATTTTGTTCATTATATCCATTAAACTTAACATGAAAATAAAAACATTCTCAGATTATAACATTCGATTTGTTATTGATTTGTTGTAAGGGCCACCGATGATGCCTACACAATTTTCGAGATCTGGATAATGCAACAACGTCGTCGGTGTGGTTGTCGTGGCTGCCTGGGTTCAATGGTGGACGCACTCAGACGTTTCTAATTGAGTATCGTCAGTTTGCTACAAGAACGTGGACTGTTAATAAATCGTATGATGACCTAGGCGAGATGATGGTCGTGGAAGTGACCGGGCTTACACCAGGAAAGATTTACACATTCCGACTACTTTCTAAGAATGACTTTGGGGATTCTGACAGATATGTCCTTGTAGAAACTACGACTGCAGGGGGTATGTGTCACTCAAAAAGAACCCAACAAATTACTTCATCTAGTTGTCAGTCAGATCAAACTTGTCCGCTCCAGCACCAAACTGATGTCTTACAACAACGCATGTTCTCTCTGGGTCGATACTACGCCATATCCTCACACTGATAAGCCATCTCATTTATATCAGAGTAATTTCGACTAACTAGTATAGTCAGTGTATTTTAATTAATACTAAACGGAACTGATTTTACATATCTTGGTGCAACACAGCATCGTGTATCATGTGGTGATTATAGGTCTGTGTATAAATAGTCGAAACCTATTACTGTATCTAATGCTATGTTCTAGGAGACCATATCAATGGATTAGCATTATCAGTTTGACTAAAACCAAGACACAGCTTTACTCGTTGAATACATGTTATATTGGTGATTCGACAGAAGTAATAAGTAGTAACTGGGTGTCACCAGTGTACAGTGACGTACGGTAAGCACTGTTCCGTTATGATGTCCCTGTTATATTGTAGATCCACCAACCCAGCACCGGCTCCAAGTTCCAACTTTTAGTACTGAAGTGACAGCAGTAACGGCAGGAGGCGGCATACTCCTCACCCTGGTCATCGTGGGAATTGTTCTCATGGTACTCCACAGAATCGGGTAGAGATTCGGAAAACAACCCAAAGGTATAATAGATACATTTCCGTTGTCAAAGGATCGAATATTATTTCGAGTCAATAATAATATATTTTATTGAGTGATGTGTTTGAGAGAACGATTTCTTATTAGGATGTTACCACCATTATGTTTCCAGAAATGGACATATATTGCACCAACAGAAAGTATGTTAAACGTTACCAATTCTCTGTGGATTTCATTTACGATTGACGTGACTGTCTCCATTTGTGATGTGTGTTGTACACGATCTTTGTTTTACAGGAACTGGAACAACGGAAATAAGGTAGTCAATATTTCAATATCAAATACAATGTATGGACAACTTTAAATAAGATAAAGGGATATATACGTATTACATAATGATGTTTGTCGCACGTTTATCCATCATGGTCTGTCAGAAACCGATCTTGTAATTGTTTTACCACCAGGAATTCTGAAACTGTGGAAATGGAAAACAGAGAATATTCATCATTAAGTAAGTATGTGGTTTTCGTTTTGTTGATATCGCCAATATCGAATTATCTGTTCAGCGCTGAGACAATTATAATGTTTTCATATGCGTTTGCTTCAGATCGACATCATGGCCCAGCTCGGTATCCCAGTTTGGAAGAGGAATCAGAAGATCAACAATACACACGGTTGAAGATCTATGCGAATACAAAAGGTATTTGTAGATGTTGGTATTTCCCTCAAAACATTACAAGTGAGTATGAATGGCGTCACATGTAACGTTGCATTGGCATTATTTCAGCCATATTGTGATCAGACCAAGTAAACACACGTAGACAAGTTTCTAAATGCAAGGTTAAAAGCACTTTCTTCATATACATACATATTTGTTTATAGACATGCAAAGATACAATTTATTATACAGTCCTGTTTCTTTTAAACAGTTAATGATGAGATCCCCGCTCCCACGTAACAGTAAAATGGATTTGTAGTTCAAATTCGTTCTTGAAAATATGTAATGAACATCTTCTCAGCAGATGCTGCAGCAGATGCAAGTACCTATGAAGGCGTGACAGAGACTCCCCCTGTGACATTTGAGTCCAACACTGCATTGCCATACCAGAACACTGGGGCACATTCCCAAGGTAACCAAACCATGAACCACTCCTGGTGATTCTAATCGCGTTACACCGTCATGGATGAACTAGGTCAGAGTATAGTTCGATAACATCTAACTAAAACATATCCTTTATCTCCTGTTCCGTTGGAATACATTTTTCATTATTCTGATCACATTGCTATGTTTAATGACATCTACTTTTGTACTTTTCAGGTCCTGACAATCAAAATAACTAAAGATGGGTAGTTATCGTGTCATCAGTTTCAGTCACAGACCAAGAGACATTTTCAGAGCATTATATGTCTTTGCTCTGCTCATAACGTCTTTATTACTTTCATCTTTTTGGGGGCGGTGGGGTAGCCTAGTGGTTAAAGCGTTGGCTTTTCACGCCGAAGACCCGGGTTCGAATCCCTACATGGGTACAATGTGTGAAGCCCATTTCTGGTGTCCCCCGCCGTGATGTTGCTGGAATATTGCAAAAAGCGGCGTAAAACCAAACTCACTCAGTCAGTCAGTCATCATGTTTTATTCACCTTAGCTTATGCTTGCCAGACATAGTAATCAAGCGATGCATACATACACAATCACTGTTAGACACCCAAACAGTCGCAGAGGTGAAATCATGTTGGTTATGTTCATGTCTGTTTTCATAGTTTACATACCAAAAATTAAAATATAATTTTCAGAAACAATATTCAGACCTTTTTTTGTGATCGTGTATACATGATGGCGGCAAGGTTCCAACTTAACCATATGCAACGACTGTGACTATAACTCATAGCTAGTCAGAGATCAGACTGAGATGCGAGGTGAAAAGGTATTTCACGTTGCATACAAAATTATTCCCCCTGTAGGTCGAACAACCGGCCTTTGCCATGTGGCACTAAAGCCGCTGACCAAGAGGTGTATAAACAAGTACCATCTGCTAACATCGTTTGACCTCCAGTACTTTCCACCAATGAATCAAGATGTTGTCTAGACTTCAGTGGTCGCCCTGCGAGAGTCGCTCCAAAGGTTCAATATTTCATGATTCAAACGTAATTAACATGACCATTATGAAGGTACCTCAAGGATGATTTGGGGCAAAATAAGGAGAGCTTGAAGAACAGATCTCGGGTTTTTTGAACTGATGCACATACTTCATTGCATTACATTTAGTCATCAGCAATATTTCTTTAAGAAGTATATGCAACTGCCCTGAAATGAATACACAGGGGTTATCAAATTTAACAGGTGTACCATCACAAATCCATAACCTTCTTCCACTGCTCACACTGATATCAATCACCTTATATGCCTGATCCATTTTCGGGAATGATATCAAGAAAGTAGCCAAGGCTATGAAGCCTGTTTATTTCAACAGATGTTCATTAAAAAAAAAAACATCATTTGACCAATAAAAATAAATACCATCATGGCGTGATACACACATAAAGAACAATAACACTTTTCTACAATACCGACCCAAGTAGTTATTTCTTACCACTTAAAAGGTTATTAAAAACCCAAGCGCAGGAAACATGTTACATACACGACCACAAACACAGTTTGCCAGTTTGTACTGGTCAAGCAGAAGCTTTAGAATCAGGAGATTGTGTGAAGTATTCTTCCATTCAATGCATTTGGAAAACTCCACAAATATCAACCTAAACAAACACAAAGATGAAGGTGTGCATGCCAATCTCCATAGCAAATAAAACAGTATTTTGACAAATGTATGCTCGCTTGAATTGGGTCGATTATTCTGATGGTCATCTGGAGTCCCCGAGTTTTGATGTGATAACAGCTTCAACGACTGGTATCTGATCATAGCAAAGCAAATCTGCAGATAACAGTACAATACAGATGGCATTGCTCAGGATAACTCACGTCCTGTCTACTCTGTTATCTGCTAGTCAGGTTGGCGTGTACTATAGCTTGTTGTGGTGTCAGAAATGATTTGTCCCCAGTAAGGCTATAGTGTTGATCACAAACAAATGTGTTCAAGTGAAAATGCATCGAAATTCTATGTTCTTTGTCTGAATCAGTTGACATTCGCTGTATTCCCTTTTCACCACAAACAGACCGCTGGGTTGGGACTATTACTTCCCAGCGATAGCTATCGACAACGCTGACGGATAGGGCGGTGAGTCGTGGCGTTGACTAAGGCCGTCGTCTCACCAACGACTTCGTCGACGATGAAAAATCGACTTCCGGCTTATTCTAAGTGACAAGGAGCGGGTGTCCACTCTGGGAAAATTGGGCACTCAGAACCGGTGTGCGCTCTGTCAAGTGTTCAACAACATTTATCTTTCCAACGGCAATTTCTCATCAATATCCACTGCATCTGTCATCTTATACTTCATCCCTGAAGTATATCCTCCCGTACGTCCCTCAACTACCACCAGCAGGTGCAAAAACAGGCTCTTGGACAAATACACAATTGTCAATCAATATCAGCTGAATATATGCATGACATGCCCCAGCGTTTTGGCTTCCCGTCGGATATAAACGAATCATGCACGGAAAATCCAGATTTGTTTTTTTCATTTAAATCATGTTCATAGTCGCCTGAAGTATATTTACACTGTACTCAAGCACCAATATATATTACGTGTGACATACCTGTAGTTCCACACACACATGTAGTTCCACACACTACCAGGGCTGTCTAAGGCGCAGCGCTAGTAAAAGAAAGGTGCCTGCATCGATCCCCACTTGTGACAATTGTGACACTTGTGGACACCTAGTTGCAGTTATAGTAACGTATCATTGAACAAAATACCGTGACTACGTGTCCCAGTTCACCTAGCTACAAATAGGTGCCTTGTGAGGACGAGGCTGAGTGATAACCCGCTTCGTTTAACTGGCTGCATAAGTCGAATGCTCCCCATGGAGTTGAGTTGGTTGAAAAAAAGGAATACCATAAAAATCGACATCCGTTGATTAAGGGAACACTCCGTCGCCTTGAGCATGTACTAGTTGCGTGGATATGTGCGCTTTATAAATACCCATTACTAATAATATCAACATGTCCACACTGCAGCCTCGTGTTATCTTCACAGTTGGGACATTTCTTAGAAGCAAGTCGTTGGTACGTACCTCGTACATGCAGGACCTTTAAAGGCTCTGGTTGCTGTTGTAATAACGCAACACGTCTGATAGCTTCTCGACCCACTCCCAACAGATATAACCACCTAAAATAGAACCAGGAAGTAGATAACGCGTATCTGTGGGTGGGTAGGACAGGTCAGTAGCTAGACACCTCTGAACGTTGATAACGTACACACAGTGCAATAGCGGCATGACAATGAAGAAAGAATAGAAGCATATAACCTCGATAGCAGACACCTGACTTTTGAGCAAACCAAAAACATGTGGTTTTGTCATCTCCTATATTGATCTTCCTGTGAAATCGGATGGCGGTAAGTCTGTTGATATGTGGACCTAGTTTAACTTTGGTTTAATACAATAAATTATTACAGAATAGACGTGAATTCAACGATCACAGATTTGCTAGGCTATGCTGGGATAAGCTATTCCTAACGTTTTCCATAAATACAGCAGGGTTCCTCTCAGAATGATAGTCATGGAAATCCGAGCCTAGATTTGATCCAGCATGCTGCATGATAAGACGCCACCTTTCCACTAATGTGTATCCTGCGTCTTTGACCATGAACTAAATGCTGCAATAACCCACGATTCATCCAGCCATACCATCATGACATTATCTGGAATACATTCAGGGGGTGCACGCATTATGTCACAGTATTGCCATAGTGTTATGAACCTCATCACTTCATCACATGTCACACAAGTCGCCGTGCGCTTCACGCCTCTAACAGCTCTATTCACCAAGAGTTGTTAGTGCAGCAGTTGAGGTCAGCGTAAGTGCATATCGGATATAAACTATGCTTCCTCTTTGTTTGATGGCCTCTCGACGCCATCCATGTTGGACCATTGATGATGATATTTAGACAGAATGGAAGCTGACAATTTGACTTAACCTGTGTCTGCAACTAACAGAGGCTGACGAAAGTGACAGAAAGTTAGAATATAGTTGTAGTTGTGAAGGGGGTGTTATGATTCTGATAATTCAGTCATTACTCATGATTACTCTCCTATCTAAATATGAACGTGATCTCTTCCATTGAACTTGATTTCAGATATCACGGACGGGCCTCGTAACAAACATGTTGTATTATGCTGTCATCCTGTCTGTGATTGCAAGTAAGTCTGCAAAGAAGGAGAAACCTGTCGCATTTGAATCAACATCTCTTTGAAAACAATTACACATAACATATTACTGGACATCTATTTTGGTGTTGAGATTACATTACATCAGGCAAGACAACTATTTTGGTGTTGAGATTTACATTACATCGGGCAAGGTGGCATGGAATGGCATGATGTTGGAGACACATATGTTGCAGGTGGTTCTTCAGGTGGACCAGTTGTCAGGCCAGTGCTGACTAAGGTGTCGGAGACTGCCAGGTTCAGCTGGGAGATTCCACCCGGAAGTCTGGGGCCTGGGACTGTTTACTTCACCGTCAATCCTGCTGGGATTGGTGTTTTCATATTGACGAGTTCTGGCCTGTTAATCCCATATGAATCTTACGGCAATAGACTGGGGTTTCAGGGAAACAGAACATCTAGGAACGTCACCTTCACCATGAGCAACATCCAGACATCTGATGCAGGGACATACACGTGTGGGGCTGGGGCTGTATACAATGTTATACACAACTGTGGACAGAAACTTGTTGTACTGGGTAAGTCGATATTGAATTTATATAGATTATATTTAAGCAGCACCAACTGTCGGTATGTACTCAACCCAGATAGCAATTCGATACATAAAGGTTAGTTACGTATGTGCATGTATGGATGTCAGAGTCAATAAATATTATGGAGAGACATGTATATTACTTCTCTCCATATTGTTGACATTACTATGAATAAATCACTATTTCAGTACAATATATATGATGTATGACCTATCATTCAGCATGTGTAACCTAATGTGAATCTGGTCACACACAGAGGCAGCTGCTAACTGTCTCGCGGAAGAATATATTTCCTCGTGGACACGAAAAGGAATTTTTTGAAGTGAATTACGTCCTTGGTGTTGATAATGAAGTAATGGAACTATACTTCACTGTTCATCAGAGAGTTTTGTGTTCATCATTTGTTAGTTTTTGAAAATTGAAGGTGAAACTATACTGGTATTTTCCATCAGACGAGAAGCCGGCCACTCAGTAGCCAAACTGATGCTCGTAGGCATATTAGTGACATACTTGAGATTGACATTGACATTTTGGGAACCAAAGGGAATGCGGAAATTGGGTCTGTTTGATTCAGGCATATTTAGCTTAATCTTCAATTTGATTACAGTGGGGAACAAATACTTTTATCGTGTTGCCTATTTGGGCGTCATGTATTTCTGCATTCTAACTGAATGATTCGGATGTAGCTCCTGGCAGTCATGTACTGGGATTTTTAGACAGTGATTACCACATGAGTGTCAATCAAATACCATTTACCTTACAAAGATAAGAAAGCAAATTGGATACATTTTAAGACAACGAGTTGTAATATACATGGTGTCTGCTCCACGTTAGAAACAAATCACTGCATATTTCGTGTTTTCGTATCGCAGAGGCGCATTGATGCATAATACAACGTCACTCAGCTTACTGATTTCTATTCATACGTGGTGTGGCAGTTCAAAAAGTGGCAGTGAATTCTGAGCAGGTTAAGGCGATAACGATGATGCAAACAAATAAGGTCAAAGAACAGTTATCAAGGAACCCTGAAAACACGAAGTTACAATTAAGCTGAGTTCTCATTGAATATATTTACAGTCGTTGTAATGTGAGGGTTGTTTGGAATTCGTAGTACATAGGGGATCTGCACTTGTTAACATGGTTATGGTGACCGTCCCCACATAGACTGGAGACGTTAAACTCAAAGACATTTATCGCTGTAAAAGGTAAACCCACAACACCTGGTCGTCCAGTGTCAACAACACCTGTCTACAACCAGCAAGTGACCTTGACCTGCAACTCCACCTCTACCTCTGTCCCAGCTGACCATGGTCTGGTCTTGACTTACACTTGGCAGCGTGACAACGATAGCATCACAGTTAATACCATTGGTCCAACCTATACATTCACCGTGAGTTCCCGGGACAGTCACAACTACAGATGTAGAGCGAGAGAAAGTCAGGGCCTGGAGTCAGATTGGAGCCAGATGTACAACATGGAGCCTCAGTGTGAGTACTGGAAGCACAAGTCTCATTCCTACCATACTCATCTAAATCTCCAGTCAGTTTGAACAGACGCGTATGTAACTGTCAAAAAGAATGTATATATCAGATGGGAAATCAGTACCAAATAATGATGACTTGACATGTCACCACGAGCTTCCTGTTACAATGACGTGAAGTACCTAGTTTGAATTATTCCCTTTTACTGGTTTTATCTTTGATGGAGGATAATGCTCGGATATGATCAGAAGTATCTATTTAACAATCTGTACAAAGCAGAAAAGTGCAAATCGGATGCTGACTGTAAATGACGTGTGGACAAAACGAATGAATTTATTTATTTCTATTTTCGAATCTTCTTTGAAATTATTTATGTTTGACAAATCATCGTCTGGCAGGATAGCTTGACACCTTCACTCTAATACATGTAGGTCACAGAGGAGAAAGCCCCTGAAAGTAACTGAATCTAACATCTACAAATAGTAGCGGACCAAGTTTCCAAAGTGTTTGTGTTTTCAATTCCAGTTCATTTTCCAACTACATCAGATCGGTTGGGTATGGAAAGAACAACTTACAAACACTCTGAGATGTGTAAATGTGTAAAGTCGGGGTTGCATTCTTTAAACGTATTAAATGTAATAAGAAATATATGTTAATGATATATTTAAAAATGCATTTACGTCGCAGACCGATCATCCAAAGGCAAATGAGCTACTATTTCTGTTGATTAGGGCATGGAACACATAAAAGCATTCATCTTGCACTAGCTATCCTCACCGCCTTTCGTCTAATATTGTACAAGTTACACTTCACAGTCCTGACTGTCCGCTGCAATCTCTCTTGGATGTATATGTATACAGGTTACATGCATGAGCAATAGCAAAGCTAGTTTCATGCTGGACAAATAAAGGAATACGAGGGGCGTTCAAAAAGTATATTCTCAAAGTCGGATGTTTGAAAAGCTTCCACTATATTTTGAAGGAAATCATTAGCAAAGCCATATCCAACATTTCACATTTGTGAGTAATGTGGATAACGAGATATTAGTCATCACAACATATTGAGGTATAATACTTCTTTATACAAATGCAGAAAATGAAAATCGATCTGTGTGGTACCACTTGGATGATGGTATCCCCTCAGATAATATCATATGAAATATGTTCAGTATAGTACTATCCGTCATAATCAACATTCAAAGATTTGGATTGCTTGATATATATTTAGACTGGGACTGGTTTGTTTGTTTTTTTTATCTTTGTATAGGACACGCCAAATTTAATCATTCAAAAACATTCTCTCCAAATATTCAAGATGGCACTGTTTGTGTTTACAACATATTGAGAGCTGACACTTGTGTGACCATTCAGCATTTAGTATGAACCTTTGGAATCATTTATGAATAAGTGAAAACATTAGAATAAGGTATGGCCTTGTGATTACGTCATCTGAAAGGGGGATGGGTTGGTAGTGTCTCTAAAACAAGTAATTTCTCAGTAAACATGAAGGAGGGAGTCACTTCAACAAGCGATTGTTAAGCTTCAAATTGCTTCTCTTAAAAACTCTAAGTTTGATTCTAGTGGACTTCTGCCTATCTCAAACACACAAAATGTTTCTTGCATATTTGTTTCCTGAAGTTTGTGATGCATTTATTGTAGATGTTGCGTTTTGGGGGGGTACCAAGATAAAAAAGTCAACTAAAATGGGATCATGAGGCTGGAACATAGGACGTAGAAAAATAAAACATAAAAACAGCTGCATTTGTATCATTTTCTAGGTGAGGCTGACAAATCAATATGAATACCACACTTGTTTCTTGATGAAAGTTTTGACAAATGTTATCAAGGACATTTCAAGTTTTCACTTCAATCGTTGTATTTGGTTAGAGGCACTATTACTCCTAGTAGGTATATGGTTTGGTTTCAAAAGAGAATTACATATGTGCCAATACTGCCGTAGTTATATCATGGTAGTGAACGCTGTGTGGTAGCTCATATTTATCACACCTACACGTGTGGGTGGTTGCACTCACTGCTGACCTGTCCTCCTTTAAGTCCTCGTGCCATGTGAATACACGTGTGGGTGGTTGCACTCACTGCTGGCTGTCCTTTTTTAAGTCCCCGTGCCTCGTGAATACACGTGTTGGTGGTTGCACTCCTGATCAGCTGTCCTCCTCTAAATCCTCGTGCCTTGTGGATGGTTGAATAGTGTCTTGTCTTTAAAGTACAACAGCTACAGCTGTACACCATCAGTGTGGTGGGACATCTGCGGTGAGACATAGTGGCTCTGAGGAGGTGTCATTTTAATAAAACAACATGAGATGTGTCAGACACGAAATTGTAATAGTGGTGCATTTACTGCTTCCTGTGATGACTGCATTAGACATTAACTTCTCCAGATACTGTCTCAAGGTGTTTTAACTTAATATCGCTGCCGTGTACTGATACCATACCTACGTGAATGACTTACTATTGCTGAACGCCGTATCATCAAATTTGCAGCTAGCCGCGGTGAGAAGTGTCATGAACGTCATTTTAGATTTCCCCCTCTGTGTAGCAAGCAAAGTATAGCTTAGAGCGTAATTGTTTTTATGTCAGACGGCCCTTCTGTATCTGCTGCTACCAACACCCTCAATCCAGGTGCGGGGATACCTGTATCGAGGTCTGTAGAGACGACAGTGGATGTACAGTGTAAGTATCATTATTAATATTCTGGACATATGTGTGTACAGCTACCAACCTCAGTCCTTGTTTGGGGACATCTGTGTTGAGATCTGAGATACATTTTTTGCGGAGGTGTCATTTTATAGAAAATGGGCGGTATGTAATTCACGAAACTGCAATAGTGTCTTTGTGCTGTTACCATTGATGACTAAATTTAAAGGTCAACTGTAAAAATGTGGTTAAACACATTTGGAGTAAAGATTATCAAACTTCGCCAGATATTACCTATATCTAATTTCACTTAATATTGCTGCCGTGCACGGACACCATACGTTGAATAACTATTGCTGAACACCGGATGAACAATTTTGCAGCGAGTCGCGGTGAGAATAGTCACAGAAAAGCCATATTAGGTTGTTCCTTCAGTGTAGCAAGCAAAGGAAAGGTCAATGCATATTTTTTGTATGCCAGACGGTACTTCTGTGTCTGTTGCGGCCACTAACACCCTCGGTCCTAAAGTAGGGACAGCTGTAGTGACATCTTCCTCTGTAGAGACGACAGTGGATGTACAGTGTAAGTACCATATTGGTAGCATACTGGACTTATGTGTGTACAGCTATTGACAGCTTCAGTCCTTGTTTGGGGACATCTGTAGTGAGATCTGACTCTGTAAAGACGACAGTGGTTGTACAATGTAAATACCATATTGTTAGAATACTGGACTTATGTGTGTACAGCTATCGACAACTTCAGTCCTTGTGTGGGGACATCTGTAGTGAGATCTGCCTCTATGGAGGTGTCAGTGGATGTACAGTGTAAGTATCATTGTTAGAATACTGGGTGTGTGTACAGCTATTGACAACTTCAGTCCTTGTGTGTGTAGATATCTGACTCTGTGCATGTGACAGTGGATGTACAGTGTAAGTACCATATTGGTAGCATACTGGACTTATGTGTGTACAGCTATCGACAACTTCAGTCCTTGTGTGTGTAGATATCTGACGCTGTGCAGGTGACAGTGGATGTACAGTGTAAGTATCATTGTTAAAATACTGGATGTGTGTACAGCTATCGACACCTTCAGTCCTTGTGTGGGGACATCTGTGGTGACATATAGTGTTGTGGAGGTGTAACTTCAGAGAAATGCAATTGTGTTTTTGTGCTCTTACCTTCGATGACTAAATGAAAGTGTCAGCTGTCAAAATGTGTTTAAACACATTTGGTGTAGAAATCATCAAGCGTCGACAGATATTAGCTAATTAAAACTAAATCTAATTTAACCTAATATAACCATACCTAAGTGAATGTGTTAACATTGCATCAACAATCTTGCAGCTAGCTGTGGTGTGAAATGGTTTTCATTTTATGCTTACTGACATACACTATGACACTGAAAGTTAACCTCTCAGAACGTTCGGCATGGATGTTATCATAAAATCGTTTTGCTTACTGGCTTTGGATGCCAAAAGCAGGATTTTGACCTTTGGACAATAAGGAATGTGTGTAAAACCTCCCTTGGCTTTATAGTTGTCACTGATGTCACCATGGCGGGGCAGCTAACAAATCACGAAACCTCGAGAACACTTGAGAATATGCCACAGGTGCCAAGCATCTCAAGCATGTTGAGTGAGGTGACTTAATTGAAGACAAGACATTATTTACTTTCTGATATAGATCCAACTGTAGATGGAATATTGCTGAGTACGACAACATGAACAATTGGCCATTCACCTTAATTGCATCTTGATGTCATCAGGCCGGTTATGGAGAAGTAGTTCCTAACTGAATTTGCCACACAACAGAATGTAAATGATACGCATGAAAATACGACCATTGAAGCCCAATACGTTCGACCCATACATTGTGCGAGCAGATATTTAGAGTAAAGAGTGTACTTTTCAAACACCCTACTATATTTTCTTTTACTCCAAACGATGTCTGTGTGCATTACGCACTCCTTGTTGTGTAACGTTGTGGAAACGTGAGGTATTTCTGTTTTAGCTCGGTCGCCCCCTTCACAAACTGGATTTATCGCTGAAGTGGCAGGTGGTGTGTTGTTTGTGGTTGTCGTTGTTGTGGTCGTCGTTGTCGTATTGATGAAGACGAGATGCGAATGTGCATGTGCATTGCAGAGTACAGGTAGGTATAATGTATGCTGTGCAAAAGGCTAGCGTAAAATTATTGTCCTCCTGAGAGGGTACGTAAGTCCCAAAACCTTTCAAAGTAATTTTTTTACGTCCTGTGTTTTTAAACGTAGTATTCTTGTCATTTTAATTTGTGGCTAAATTTTCCTACAATCGCCAACAGCTGAAGGGATGGTGTAAATCCAGCTAGGGTCCATGCAGGGAGAAAAAGTAATGTAAGTCCCCATGGTTCCTAGTATGGTGATCTACCTTCAGTTGTTGGCGATCTATAGCCTGTTTTTATATTGTATTGTCTTCGTAAATAAAATAGTTTTACATGTTCATGCTAGTTTTAGACTTCATCTGTGATACTCTAGTTATTTTACAGTCCTTCGATGACTGATTATTTAGCAACTTTAATTATTGTTTATGTAAAACATTTCTCGTCACAATATGGCTGAAATATTGCCGAGGTGACGTTAAATTCTAACTCACTCACTCACTCACTGTGCAAAAGGCAACATAATTATGCACAGCAATGTAATTCAGCACGTTATGCAGCAATGTTGCCTCTTCGCGATACGGTAACAGTAACGTACTGGTGTACTTTTTTGTTAGGCACTATACGTGAGTAAACAGCAAACTTGCACTGCTAAGATATTTAACTTCTATCGACAAAGTTTGACATGACGTCATCTTTGGTATCTCCACAGGCACAACAGACATGCCGAATACGTAAGTTTCCTTTCATAGTTGTACTTGTAAGCGGTTATAGCTAAACACAGCTTTTGCCATTTAACCTAATTCTCTGTCTCCTTATATGCACACATGTGTGTGTGTGTGCGTGTATGCTTGTGTGTGACACTTTTTGCGACTGCAAGCGTATGTGTGTGTGAATTGCATGCCCTCTTGACATTATTGACGTTTCTGCTGAAGGTCGCGGATCCAAGATAAGCGAGACCAAGAGCCGTATTACCAAGGTACATGAGTTTTCCAAATAAAGCATATGATAAAGAGAAAAGATTGCGAGCTCAGAGATTTGCATCTTCAATGTCAGATAATGTGATATTGATGTCTCCCATAAGCTCTATCTTTGTCGAATTTCTAAAGAAAATGCCTGTTTAGTTGGGATTATCTTCTATGTTTATTGCTGGAAGTATACATTGTTGATGTTCGTCGACACTGCTCACCCTTGATGCCTCGATTGTCTCTGATTGTTTATCTGCAGTCCTGCATTCACTATGTAAACGTTATTACACTTTCCAGACATTGACAACACCTACGACGAGATTGCGGACAGATCAAGACCCTACAGACTTCACCAACTTGGCATGTATGTGAATGCTCATGGCAGAGGTATGGCTAATGCAGAATCGTTTACAAGAACAACAAAATACAAAACATGAACTAGCTCTCTAAACCTAACGGCTGAACTTTTACCATGATTCTCTTCTATGTTTATTGCTGGAAGTAAACATTGTTGATGTTCTTCGACACTGCTCACCCTCGATTGTCTTTGAAAAGTTATTATACTTTCCAGACATTGGCAACACCTACGACGAGATTGCAGAGAGATCAAGACCCTACAGACTTCACCAACTTGGCATGTATGTGGATGCTGATGGCAGAGGTATGGCTAATGCAGAATCGTGTACAAGAGCAACAAAATACAAAACATGAACTTCTCACAGTAGAAATCCTAAACTGAATAGGTTCCCTCTGTCCTCAGTTCTGCGTTAGCGTAACACTATTAGTGACAATATGCTGCTGCCTCTTATCACAGCCTGGTGGACACTGTCTTATGTCCTGTCGTCACACCCTGAAGACATATCCTTAACCAGACTAAATGCTTCACATAAACCATAGTGAGAAAACTGGAAGCTAGAACACTTTTGATGTAAACCATTCAGCCATTATCAGGATAGAGTCCCGTGCTGTGTATGAATATAGTGCTACTTTTGTTTCAGATTTGACTTATGACTACATACGGAACTGATCGAAATTGCTGACACGAATAAAACGTGATGTACTTTACGCACTTAATGAGGGTGCACATCTGACGTTCTCTATAAAGGAGGGTGTTGCTTCAGTACCTAAGTTTGTTTAAATGGACACTGAATACATTCTCAACGTTCCTCGTGTATGTTTATGGATATACACCAGGTAAGAACTAATGATGAACAAGTGCATTTACTAGACAAGTAATGAGTAAGCGAATAGAAAATATGTGCATTGTCAGTTATTCAGACTCCTTTTGAACTTGTGTTAGATACTTAAGTAACATAAAAGAGACATGTTTGATTTGCAGGTGTCTTAGATGCCGCAGTCGTACGATCTTAATGTGTCCTAAACACTGGATATATGTTAGAAAAAACATGTTATTGCACTATGTTCTTATTGGTTCGACACCAGTTTCAGCTCCAGACATAACACGTCAATGTGTACCTTGGTCATTTATGTGTTGTATATGCAGTTGTGTGGGCACAGAGTGGAGCGTAGACCTCATTGAGTTGAACGTGGCAGTGTTTGTAGGCACTTTTTGTAAACAAACTTGTGCTATACAAATGTATATATCTACATGTATGTTATATCATGTATATTTCAGTTAATGCTGAAACTAAGTGCAAATTAGGCAAGCTCAAATAAAACTTTCACCTCTTTTCGTGCATGCATGTATCTTGTTTCGTTCTTATTTCTGACAAAAAACTTCGTGGGTTGATAATAACGCTTTAGTTAAGAGACTGCTTGTGCATGGTTCTTCAGTTGAAAGAGCGCAATCGGGATTTTTTAGATTAGGTGCTAATGTAATGGATAGAGGTAACAGTAAAGTCAAATCGTGTGTAATATTGTATGATATTCAGATAATATAGCATTCAAACAGGGCTCTACATTGGGCAACAGAACTGTACATACTGACAGATGACGTTATTGCTCTGAAGACAGCAATATGGTGGATTCCTGTGGGTTCCTTTCTTTACGGGTTTCATTTCCAGCACGACCGTACGCACATTAGAAACATGGAGCTTACAACATACCAGTGGGACAAACTGTCAATGGTATTAATGTTTCGTTGTTTACAGACGAAATCTATCCTTCAATATCGAAGACCAGACATTTAGCCCATTACAGTTCTGGTCAACTGACATCCATATACATAATGTATAACTTGCTGATAATCTCAAAAGGTCCCGTTGGTATATTTTCCTATCAGAGTCTATCAAAACATGCATGCACAGTCACCAAACCAGTTTCTTGTTGTTTTTAACGTTGGTGATCGAGTCATACACATGGGAACAAAATAGAACGATATTGTGTGTATTGAACTATGGCTTGCCCATATATCTATCCTAAGCATCGTGTATGTCTTGCTAATCAGAGTCATTACAGTTATTTTATATATTTCGCAATATCTTAACTTATCTGTCACCGGGATTGAGCTAGTGAAAGCTTGAATAAATATTCCTTACGAACGTATACAAGGATATTTGCAAATGCTGTTCCTGATTTCAATCCATGTGCGCAATCCCATTTAATCTTAAATAACTCTTGAAAAGAAGCAGTAATTTATATATGAGACAAAGTGACTTTCTCATGAATGAACATCCTGCTAAAGAAAACTGTGGTATATGTAGGGAAGATAGTACATGTAGACACAGAGTATATTTATTACTTTTCAGTCTTCCTTGAACTGTATTAGATCAATTGATTATCCACTTAGATAATTCTTTATACATTATCAGCTTGCAGATTTTTGCTTATCTTCTCCAAAATAAATGGGCAAAACGATAGAGAAATTTAGTTTGCAACTTCCGAGCGGGACACTCGTCTATTGTACATGCTCAACCTTGTCCAATTTCGTTCTTGTTAAGTAACTCAGTAAAAGCCCAGTCTGTGCTTGGAGTGAGCATGTTACAGTTGGGTACTGTTTTTATAGCTTGTCATTACTCATTTCTTATGTTACAAGATTAAATAGGTGTATCTATATTAAGGGTCTATTTGGATGTAATATGTGGGCTGCACACAAGCTATGTTTAGGACGAAATAGACGTAAATATACATGGCTGTATAACGTGTGTTCTCTGGTAGTGCTGGTCGTTGTGGAATAGTTTTATAGTTGAGTTCCTCTGTTTCTGTTATCCTCCAGTAGAGGGTAGTGGTATGATAGATATAGTGTTTAGACTGGGAGTAACAATGGTCTAGAAGGATCTAGAGCATCCAGAATATCGCAGTAAAGTAGGACCCAGCGAGTTGGAGAAATTTACAGACACAGAACAGAAACTAAACTATATAGGGCAAAACCTCTTGCCTTGGTCAACTCACATTGTATATTATGTTATGTGGAGGTCACTTTCCAGCAGTTCTCACCGTTGGTAAATTTTGGAATCTTGACCACTGTGGCAGCGAGGTGAATTTTTCCATCACAATCTGTATTATTTTACGGTTAAAAAACTGCCATGACAAAAGGTATAAGAATCCCCTTGAACCAGCAAAATATAACACAGACAAGTCTAACATATTCAATAATATATTCAGCAACCAATGAGCAAGCTACAATGAATCACAATACAGATTTCTAGTACAATGCAATTGAGTCACAAATCTAAAGAATTGAGTCACAAATATAAGATATCAACTCACCAGGAGCCTTGGTATTTACAGTGAGAGCAGATATTCTAAATGAAGCTTGCTTATAATGAGAGCAATAGTCAGGCAGTCAATCGTGAATGTAGGTCAGCTCGACGAAGGCAGACAGATGTAACTCCATTGATATGTTAACATAGTGACAGTCCGTGTGTGTTAATCTGTGAGGCACAACACAACAACCAGCCTTTAGATATACTGACACAGATTCTTGAACATTCGAACAAAGCGTGGCTGTATCATTATTCTCTCAGAACTCGCAAGAAGCGGAAGTAAACCAGTTAATCAAAACATTGTCAAGGGCAGTTTACTCTGGAGCGTCATCAAAAAGGCCTATCGCTAAAAATACTATTGCCATTGAACATATATGAGGCGAAATGTGACCCACAACCCTCACTCAAAACTTTGAACATTGTGACCCATAATAACTATCACCTAATCAATGTTAATACAAATTACAAAAAAAACACACTCGCGTAAAAATTACTATAATCATACTATTTGTACTGTCAAGGATTTTACCCTTTCTTGAAATAGCATGATTCTTTTGTAGTGATTTATAATCATTCTTTGGGAAAAGAACTGTTAATTCAATCACATTATTTGCACATATAACTCCGTGAAAAAAACATTGCACAACGCCACTGATTTAAAGAGACACTAGCCGACACCCGCGATAGTGTCAGGTCTTGACCCCACCGCGGCTCTCGTCTGAAGAGGCACGAGCTGGTTATCACTTCAATAAGTCGTGAATAGAGCCTTTCATATTCGTGTCCGAAAACTACGATCGTCGGTTCGCGTCAGGTTCACGATTATCTGTCCATGTTTGTCAGCACGTGTGATTCCCCAGAATGGTAAACGTCAGAGACTTACATAGTTCCGGGCTAGCAAGCTGACAAGGCGTAACCCAAATCTGTTCTGAAAGTATTTTCATTCGCATTACACTAAACCTGCATTCATGTGACTAACATTTGAGTCAGCTATATTTAGAAACCTGTTAGAAACGAGTGATATGCAGGCAGACCTACACATTACTTCCGTGTTGATCTAACCAGCTACACACAGAGACTGCAGTGACGGTTTATACATGACAACCGCAAGTTTCAGTCGGTATGTACACATTATGTATTTCTCTTGTTTGCATTGTTTGCATGTTTACCTCTTTCTCAACGGACTTGTGGCTCCAAACTCTGGCATCAAAATGTCTATTGTCACTGACAAAGTCTCACCCTGTGTCCGACGTCTATGTAGGGATAAGCAGATTTGTTTCCCTTTGCCAAAGCTACTGTCACACAAGTAATTCACTATACACGCGTGCTATGTCAACGCGGGACATACTAATGCACAATGCGATGCAGTGTTTAGTTGTTGATGTTTATAGTGTGAATATGTCCACATCTTACTTCAGTGGAAATGCAGTAAATGCTAACAGGCAAGAGAATTAAGTTTCATTTGAAGTCGTAAACGCACATTGTGTACATGAAAATATCCCCTATCTCATTATGTTTCACAAGTGTATTTTATACAACAATTTCTGGGTTCCGGTTGATTCCCTTCCTTACAGACAGGCGACTACTTTCACAACCCAGGTGACACGTACTCCTTCAGGTGTTCCAGAATCCAGTGATCGTGGATCGCGAAATGCTACCACTTCATCAGTATACCTTCTTGTAAGCACCCTGCTCGTGGAGTAGTAAACCTATAAAACTTGGGATTCCTAGCCAGTGATTGTAGGAGTTTATGCACAGTGATAATAAAATATGTCTTGTTGGCACAGTTCATATTTTAAACTATTCTGTCTTTGTTTGAGTGAAGGAATCGATATGATCACCAGTGATCCATCATCATGAAGAAGGGACGGCAGACCACTATTTCAATCCTTACCTTTCAGGGAAAACATTATTGCTGGTATGTTATAATGAGAGTTTTACGCATCAAAGACACACACACACACACACACACACACATTATCATCAGGGCATTGTAACAGCAATCAGACGGTAACAGTGAACCTTCACCCATCTGCATATCTCGTTGATACTCAAAACAGTATCGATATAAATGATACATGTTGTACCTTTATTTCAGATTGTCACGGAGGTGCTGGACAAAAGGCATGACGAAGACCGCCCAAGCGGCAATATTATATGTGATAGCAGGTGCGTTTCTTATATCAGTCATGTCCAGTAATGTCTGCATATGCTAATGAAGTAAAACACTACCTCAACATCGATACAAGTCAAAGACAGCAGGTTTCTACTTGGTATAATACTATAAGTTGTATGCTTCTCTCGAGGGTAATACGGTCTGATGGACGCCTGTTTGTAGCAGTGTCACCCGAGCCGGTAGGCGAGAGATGACACTGTACAAAGAAGCGTACATCAGACTGTATTACTCGATGGAGAAGCATACAATGTTTTTATCTTACCGCCATGTTATATGTACAAAATATCATTTTATTCTAGTTTTAAGATCGCTACCGACTATATGACATGTAAACAAAATGGCGTCTACCCCTCGACTGGATTTTTTAAATCAGTGGAACATATTCTGACAAGGTTAACACTGCTATAAACATGATTAATTATGTTTAAGTTGAGGGCAAACGATTCAATGTATAAAGTAGTTTAAAAAGACGGTAAAATAAATGTACATAGTAAACTCAAAAACAAGTAATCGAACGGCCAAAGTAACCGGACACTGCATGCGTCATATCACGACGTCATGCGATTGTAAGCGATACAGCTTCTCGGCGGAGAGTTTAGCAGTTACCGTGGCTGCGGGTAATACTTTTCCCAGTTGTCACCCTCTTGGGAGGGGTGACACGGAAACTTGTTAAAGCGTCAGTGATCAATAAAATTAAAGTGTTTCACATGGAGGTAAGATAACCGTCCTGCTTCATGAATGATATTCTAAATAACCACATATCTTGTCTCTACAGGTGTTGTATCAGGTGCAACTAGTGCCAGTCCAGTGTTGTCTGCAGTGTCTGACACAGCCAGGTTCAACTGGGAGATTCCACAGGGAGGTCTGGGGACAGGAGCCAGTTTCTATGTTGTCAGTCCTGCTGGTGGCACTGTGTTCATAGTGACAGGTTCTGGGAATTTCATCCCACTCCCAGGCTACAGCGGTAGACTGGTGTACCAGGGGAACATAGCAGTCAGGAACGTCACCTTCACCCTCAGCAACATCCAGACATCTGATGCAGGGACATACACGTGTGGGAATGGAGGAGGGACCGCCACTGATGTGATACAGAACTGTGGACAGAAACTTGTTGTCCTGGGTGAGTGGCTGTTTAGTTGTTGTTTATGGATGTGTGGACTGACCTTTATATATTCAATATGCATATTCAGATAAAACTATACTAATGCAGTAAGTAAGTGTTTCATGTCGTGGATATGCTCAAAATGTAAACATCGTGTGCTAGAATTCGATATGACCTTTCACTCCTGGTCTAATTGATCACATGTATACTTTGCTCCGAACTTCACATATCCATGTTCACGCAATGCATGGACCAAAGAGCAGAATGTACTACAGATTAATAGTTTCAGCACTTGATGCATTCATTATTATTGTTGATCTTGATTATTTTGCCTAAATGGGGATCTTTGGGTACAGTGGTGCTGCAATTAATATATAGATGATTAAACAGTTTACATAAGCAACATACGACTATAAACAATCCCGCTATATTACCGATTGGCTACATGGGAGGTAAAGAGGAGAATTCAGACTTTTAGAATATTGATGCATCTGAATGAAGTGTTGGCTTATATTTATGAGATGCAAAGAAACACAACAAGGCAAGTAGTGTGGAAAATACAGACGCTCTCAGAGCAGAATGATGTTTCCTCCAACATGTTTCATTGAAGCAGTTACAGTATGACATCATTACAAATATATTGTGACATCAAAATGAGGACCACATTCTAGAGTGACAAGGTCAAAGCTTGCAATGATTTAACATTGGTTTGAACTTATCTATGAAGTAGCGTTGTTTTATAATTCGTTTTACTTTGTCCGAATTATGAACTTGATCAAAAGGAAATATTGTAAACTTAATATAGTTTCCTTTCGCACAGACATATAGATGTTCACTCAGTGGGATACATCGGGTTTCAGGACACTTAATTTGTTATTTGTGGACACTGTCACATACTAGAGTAAAGACAAAACCAGATTTCAAAGTTAATATAATTTATTAACTAAATTTACCCTATTTACAATAGTTAATACAGGCTGGCATCACAACTTCATTCTCGCACTACCAAACACCCTCACACTCTTTCCCCTACACACCCAAACAAGCACATCATACTTCACCATTCACATATACTCACATCAATAGTCAAAATATCACAACACCACACTTGTCTTTTTAAAGAAACACACAACAATTCATATGATTATGTCATGTACATGGAAGATGGAATATGTAAGCAATTCATTAAAAGCACAAATCAGTTGCATGCTATATAAATCACTGACGATGTTCTTGTCACCACATGTGGGGATTCCAGACAGTTCAGGTCTTTGGTGGTAGGTTAGGGGTCCTTCCCCTGCATGTAAGTCTCTACATACTTTGGCGGCATGTCCATATGATTCCTGTTGATCAGTTGGTACAGCCTTACTGACGGGGCACGTCACTCTCCCCAGATACACAGATGTTACTTCACATCCACGGGCGGCATGTCAGGGTCGACACTGGATACAAAAAGCACACCCTTTACTTGGTGACTTTACATGTACACTATCTATATTTCTATATATATACATATATATATAGATCACATACACAGGATATGTTTACAGGGCTGTTTTACAGTCACTTAATACACAACACTACCACTATACATTACACGTGACCTGCTGAATGAGTATCATCATTACCCCAGTATACTAACTTAGAGACATTCTCAAAATGTCACATACTGATCACAATTCCATCATATTACTAACCACAGCAATAATATTACCTATATTTCACCTTAGTTATAGTTACATGCTTTAAGGTGAAATAGCAATAATTTTACTATATATAATTCATAGTCATATTCTGACTGAAACATAACATAACATTATCATACTCACACCAGGATTCAGGAAAAACCAGGAAAACCAGCCAACCTGACACGCACATACATTCCAACTGGCTGCCAACTCACAACTTTCAAATCAGTCCTTATATAGCCCCCAAGCTACTTGATTAACCCCAAGCTTACTACCCAGATACATACAATGGCTCTCATACTGCACACCCCAACACTCGCTTAACGCTTACATCACTGCTCCAGCTAGCCTCTTTTCACTCCCAATTTCTCACACCTCAGACAAAGAACAAAACATATTACACTAATTGTGATCTTGACAGACACGAACCCGGGCTCTTAAATTTTCTGATTGGCCAGTATGCTGTTCAGTACAGTCCGTGTGCATGTTATGACATATATAATATTTTTGGAAGAAGAGTCAAAATTCGGTTTTGCATAAAATTCTCTGTGTCTCGTGTTACATCTGGTTACAGAGTGTCCTTCAACAATATGTCGACACGTTCCACAGTTACTTCTGTTGGATACAGTAGGATTTGATACATTCTGGGTTTCTAAAAAATAAATTTGGCTTCTGTTAGGATCTTTCCAAGTTCTGATTTTGTCTTTTGCTATATTTATTATTTTCTAGATTTCAGCATTGATTTCAGTTTTTCATCTTGTTCTAAGATGTACATATTTGTTTTACTGTTCTGGAACACATTTGGGTTCAACGGATTTTAAGTAGATACAAAAGCTATTACTCTTTCCTCATTGGTTTGTTTCATCGCTCCTGCCAAAAGATATTGTCTATTAAGCTGTAACGCTTTATTGGTTCCCTCTTCAACAAGAGATTTTGGATATTCCCGTAATAGTAAAACATCCTAAGTTCAGCCTTTGATTGCTGGAGTCCTGGTTTGAATCCATTGTACATATTCTTTGTGCCAGGTTATATGGAAGACTTCTTTTAGTGTGGCTCGGATGACAAAATATGAAGTTTTAATATTGTTTCGTATCAGTAAGTTTGTAGAAGATACCTGTGTCCAATTCCGCCCCAATTAGATGATTATTGTGTCCAAGAAAGCTGTTTTCATTTCATCTGCCTCCATAGTGAAAACAAGATTTTCGTCCATGCTATTTAAAAGTTCGTAAAATGTATTTAGTTTCTACTAAAGAAATGGCCAAATCATGAAGAAGTCGACTAGAAATATTTTCCAGTTATCCATGAAATAATGGGCAACATCCTCCCCAAGAATTTGACTGATTTTATGTTTGAAATTTTCCTCCAGATATCCTAAGATATATATATATATATATATATGTGTGTGTGTGTGTGTGTGTGTGTGTGTGTGTGTGTGTCTTTGTTATTTGTCCCGTTTGAAGAGGAATCATATGTCCTGTTAGTGTCATTGTCTGCTTCGTTCCTCTGGTTGCTTGAACTTTGGAAGGTCTTGACAAAGGTGTGCTGATGAAGTTTTTGTCAATATGGCGAGCCCATAGAGGTTCCACGAGTGGATTAGAACCCTCAGTAGAAAATAATTTGTAGTCACGCTAATGTTTCTAATGTGGGTCTTGTTCAAGGAGTTGACAGTTTAAGTAACTGTTTGTACTTTCTGCAATGTAATCTGCTGCAAATTTACGCTCATGTATTTCTGCTGCAGACAAGCATTAGTAATCGCACTACATCGCATAATTTTCATACTACATGTTTGTACAGTGTATTTACTTTTCTTTCATTCACCAATTTTATATTTCAAGCTTTATCTAACCAATCTGACCATTTAGCATCGTCAAGTGATGCAGTTAGAATCAGAAAACAACCTGTAACTAAACATTCGTTACTGAATGAAATAAATACATGCACGTGATATAGTCATAATTGTACAATGGACTCTGGTATTAGCAAATATGTTGTGTGGATGTAGAACGGGTTCCGTCGCTTCCATTTACTTATGAACCACACATACCACCAACGAAACTAATATTATTCTACTTTGTCCTTGTGTATTTCCCGGAAACTGCATATTGTTTCATGCATGGCATCAGGGACTCGAATTTAATGTTGCTTAACATCTGCAAATGTACAAGTTACAGATATACGTTTCGAAATAACTCAAGAAACATATTTTGGAAAATCAAAACAAATTGGATTAAAGTCCAATCGGACATATTTCAGTGTGAAATGCAAATGTATTTTCACAGGTAAACCAACAACACCTGGTCGTCCAGTGTCAACAACACCTGTCTACAACCAGCAAATGACCTTGACCTGCAGCTCCACCTCTACCTCTGTCCCAGCTGATCATGGTCTGACCTTGACCTACACCTGGCAGCGTGACAACACTGACATCACAGTTACCTCTCCTGGTTCCCCCTACACCTTCACAGTGAGTTCCCTGGACAGTCACAGCTACAGATGTAGAGCGAGAGAAAGTCGGGGTCTGGAGTCCGAGTGGAGCCAGGTGTACCACATGGAGCCTCAGTGTGAGTAGAGCATGGGCATTACTGATTCATATAAAACCCATCATTAGTTAACATGGGCAGCAATTGTACAATCATAAGACCCAATATATGAAAACCTTGAAAGAAAGCGTCAAACGCTGACAGGAGTTACTGGTATTTATCTTCGTTGTTGTCGGTGGTTTAGGAATATACTAAAATTTGTACTCACCCAATGAAACGTGTGACATGTGCGACCGATCATGATCGTCAGCTGGTCATGTAAATGGGTCGTCGATAGCCCTGCAGCATCAGTTACCTTTATTATCACGTCTTATCTTCTCTTAAACTACTTTATCGACCGAACACATATCATGCGTGCCACATTACCATTGATTCCAGACGGCCCCTATCAGATCTCACGCCAATTCCAGACTCCGCCCTCCCTCCTCCTCCTACACTGTGACAGAACACCAGGCTCTTCCATCAATCAGGTGCTCCGCCCTCTGTAGACCGGCATGTAGCTACAGGTGGTTACACAATGGAACAGCTTTCAGCAGTGGAGCCGTGCTCCAGGGACAAGCTGACAGATCCAAGACAGGCTCCTACAGATGTCAGCCTTATAATGCACACGGAAGTAGTGACAGTGTTACAGTCAGTGTTGATGTTCAGTGTAAGTATATAGTCTACACTGGTGACAGTGTTACAGTCAGTGTTGATGTTCAGTGTAAGTATATAGTCTACACTGGTGACAGTGTTACAGTCAGTGTTGATGTTCAGTGTAAGTATATAGTCTACACTGGTGACAGTGTTACAGTCAGTGTTGATGTTCAGTGTAAGTATATAGTCTACACTGGTGACAGTGTTACAGTCAGTGTTGATGTTCAGTGTAAGTATATAGTCTACACTGGTGACAGTGTTACAGTCAGTGTTGATGTTCAGTGTAAGTATATAGTCTACACTGGTGACAGTGTTACAGTCAGTGTTGATGTTCAGTGTAAGTATATAGTCTACACTGGTGACAGTGTTACAGTCAGTGTTGATGTTCAGTGTAAGTATATAGTCTACACTGGTGACAGTGTTACAGTCAGTGTTGATGTTCAGTGTAAGTATATAGTCTACACTGGTGACAGTGTTACAGTCAGTGTTGATGTTCAGTGTAAGTATCTGGTGACAGTGTTACAGTCAGTGTTGATGTTCAGTGTAAGTATATAGTCTGTACAGTCAGTGTTGATGTTCAGTGTAAGTATATAGTCTGGCTGGTGACAGTGTTACAGTCAGTGATGTTCAGTGTAAGTCTATATAGTCTACACTGGTGACAGTGTTACAGTACAGTGTTGTTACAGTCAGTTTGATGTTCAGTGTAAGTATATAGTCTACACTGGTGACAGTTCAGTTACAAGTCAATGTCGATATTCAGTGTATTATAGACGTGTTGCACAGTGATGCTTCAATGACCCATAATACATGTACACTGATTAGATAATTAATGTGTTTTCTTTTCAACATATAACTTCACATTGAATTCAGTGTTCAGTTGACATTTATTTTAGCCAATACCATATCAATGATGCAATGGTTCTTATTTTCAGACCCAGCTAACATAAGCATGTTTACCGCCAACTCTCACAGTGGCTCAGTGACAGTTAACGAGTCTGATACAGTGACCTTGAGATGTCAGATTGACAGTAATCCAAGGTCAGTAATCACACTCCTGAATGGCACTGAGGAGCTGACAAGGACAGATAACTCCCTGTCAGCAACATACAGACTGGAGTCAGCAGACTGTAGACAAAGAGGGAACTACTCCTGTACTGCCACCAACAACATCGGGGCACCTGTCACCCAGACGTGGAGGTGGTCAAATGTGAGTAGGTTTTCAACAAATGTAATATGTGTACAGATACACGTTTGTGTTTGGAAAATACGTTCGCATGGTTGTCCTGTGATGGTTGTTTTATAGTTTAAATTGCTTTGTCTGTATCTGGTTTGTATCCAACAAGGAGATGCTTCCGTATTTATATTGAGCAATATGAAATGCATCGGGTATCCTTCTCATAAAGGAGTTGCTATGTAATGTGCTATTTCTGAAAAGTAGAAGCTCATGAAAAACAATTCAACAGAAAATCTTAGAAGCATAACTTCCAGCTGTCCACTGTTCTTGTTTGTTTTCTTAGTACGTAATTAACATTGCTACTTGACCTACTGAATCAGTCACATTGTCAGCTGTCAATTTGTTCATTTTCTCAACCTGTGTCACCAGGTTAGTATCTGTCCCCGAGCCATTATGGATGTTGTTTTCTACATTTAACCAGGTTCACCTCGACTTGATGACTCAGTGTCCCAACAACTCAAGTTCGCCTCTAGACTGGGTGGTGACGTGGCTGTGTCTGTGTCAGTCCTGGCCTACCCCCTTCCTACATTCACCTGGAGTAGATCCATCAGCACCAGTCAGGACCTCACTGGTTCCTCCAGCCCTGTCTCAGACATCTCAGTCACTGCCAGACTACACCTTACTAACCTCCAACAGCAAGACTTCGGGGACTACAGTCTGACAGTGGACAATGGTGTGGGCAGTTCAGTGACATACACAGTCAGTGTTGTGCCTGCAGGTGTGTTACTTTTGGAATTACAACTTGGTGTGTTATGATTTCAGATTTACTGTGAAGCTTACCATATTCCTCTGGTGACATTCTATTTCTGTTTTGTTTTCATTTAACCTTCATTTGAGGTTTTTAACCCATCAACTTATGATAGCAATCATTACTTATTTTATCTTACTTTGTTGCAAGGACCACCACAGACACCTACACAGTTTCAAGATCTGGATAATGCAACAACGTCCTCGGTATGGTTGTCGTGGCTGCCTGGGTTTAATGGTGGACGCACTCAGACGTTTCTCATTGAGTATCTCCAGTTTGCTACAAGAACGTGGACTGTGTATAAATCCTATGATGACACCGGCGAGATGATGGTTGTTGAAGTGACCGGGCTTACACCAGGAGATTTACATATTCCGACTACAAGCTAGAAATGACTACGGGGATTCTGATGGATATGTATTGACAGAAGCTGTGACTGCTGGTGGTAAGAAGAACAAAGGGAACCCTAAATGGCCACATAGCTGAATAAAAACAATTATGTAGTATAGTTGATGTAAAGCGTGAAACGATTTGAGTGTAAACATAATTTCATTATCAGATATTAGGGGTAAATACTAGTATGCCCATCAACGTATATTAAAACGAATCTTTTCGCAAATCTTCGGATTTACAGTAAACATTTATGTGGAGGTTTGATGTGATGAGGCTGGGAATGAAGCCCTTGGAGAACTGGATGAACTTGCTTGACTTGTTTATCTTGTCAATGCATTGCTTGGTCGAATATTGACAAAGTCACTGGCATATTGCAGACAGCAAACTGAAAATGAGTATTATAGTCTGTACTCATCTTAGGAATTTAGCCTGCGCCGTTTGTACTGTAGCAAGAGTAGCACTGTATAGCTGAATAGTGAAGACCGAATCTCAAAGTGAATTTCGAGTGAACACCTTTGTTCCTTCGGGTTTCGAGAAACTCTATCGTGACACCAAGTGGTAAGAAACGTTGTTATCATAAAGTAAAGAGGAGCCCGATGCATATCGTTCCTCATCTTAAATGTACAACGGTGTAAATACCATAACGTTGCACATGACGTCATATTAAGGTTGTCAGAAAGAAATTACGTTTCTGTGCGTTCAGTATATTAATGGGATGGAAATCCCAAAGTTTTATAGGTAAATAATGCACTACAGTCTTGTTTTCTGCAGAAATTACGAATAATTCGATGTACGCTCTTGTTCTTGCGATTTTCGGGAAAGAGACAGTTTACGTCGCATAACTGTTTCAGAAACGATGAATCATAACGGGATGTAACAGTCGATACAAGACGTTTTGTCAACGTATGTATGTAATGTTGCTGTAACGGTGTGAATTAACGTTATAAAATGACGTTACATCATGACGTTACAAATGTCCAATCTTCCGAAAACGTTGAGAAAACGTTGTGTGTTACCTGGGCACACAGACAAATGATTTTGCAGCAGCAGTCTGTATGATCTTTTAAATTACATTTTAGATCCAACAGACCAGCAAAGGCTTGGAGCTTCATGTAATTGTACCGGGGTAACAGCAGGAGCGACAGTAGGAACCTTTCTTCTTACCCTGCTCATTGGAGGGATTGTTCTAATGGTGCTGTACAGAAAGGGGTACAGAGTTGGAAACATTCTAAAAGGTACATACTTCATTTCCTGTTGTTTTATCATTGGACACTATTTGGAAGGCAGTAGGTGTTATGCCAGATGTAAGTTCCTTGACACTGCCGAAGATAATTATTATTTTTTCAAAATTTCATATGTTGATTGATGTAAATACATTTACACTGTTAATGTGATTTAATGTATGCATGGTTATAGCTTCGATCCACAATAATTTACAGAAACAGTTATCCGTCTCTCTCTCTCCATTTCGTTTTTGATTGTTGTGTCTTTCACACTCCATGACATTTTTACTATTCGTGTTTTCCAGGAGCTGCACGAAAAAGGTAATCCATATGTCAATATAGTTCAATGAAATATTGCATGTAAAAGTACGAGACTAGGTAGTAACTTACAATAGGTTAACTAAAATATACATGTATTACATTTCATTCTAAGGTTTATCGCTCGATTGTTTTATTTCAATTATTCGAAACTGACCTGATGCTGTTTGTAGTTCTAGCCACCCTGAACCTGTGGAAATGGACAACAAAGGATACTCATCTCTAGGTATGTACTGGTTGTTTGATGTTTCACTCTAGTTGATATTACAACCATCTCTGGATCTGTTTGCACTAAGCCAATACAATGTGTTTCAGATCAGATCACGGCTCCAGCGCAGTATTCAAATTTGGGGGAGGAATCAGAAAAACAACAGTACACACAGTTGAAGATTTATGAGAATACAAAAGGTAGATGTTTTATGCTCAGCATTGAGGAATCTCAAATTTATACATGGATTTACTGTCAGCTCTCTATAGTGCTAGTGAAACGAAGGAAGCTTTTATGTGTATTTGCTGTTAAATATGTAATGAATTCTATCTTCAGCGGATACTGCAGCAGATACAAGCACCTATGAAGGCGTGACAAAAACTCCCCCTGTGACCTATGAATCTCTGAGGGCATCGACATACCAGAACACTGGGGCACATTCTCAAGGTAAACAAACCATGGGACACTACTGGAGATTGAAATCTTAAACATCCTCAACGATCAACTGTTTCCTTGAATCCTTCAACAACATATATATGCCTCTCTTTGGGTCCAGTATGATACGTTTGTATCATGTCAAAAGTTCACTTAATATCATATTTGTACGTTTCATTACCCTTGGTTCTCTACTTTTCAGATCCTGAGCATGGAAATGCCTAACGAAGCACAAGGATAGATACCATTACATAAGTTTCTGCTGTGGATAAAGAACCACCACGTCATTAGCTTGCTTTGAGACAGCACGTCTTAGTTATTTGTCTGTTTATTCACCCGTACTTTGTGTTGGTACATAATGATGCATACACATTTACTGTTAGAAACCAAATCATCTATCTTGACCAACAAGATGGGTGTATGTCATCTTTGTCAAATATGTAACATTGGATAGATGCACAAAGTAATTCACTTGGTGATTATGCAAATAGATGCATCATAAATAGGAGCGGAGCTCAAGAAATCTGATCTACAATTTATAATATTAGTCATGATTCGGGAAAGAATGAGTAGAGCTGGAATAACAAGAGCTCCAGTCCTACAGCAGGCGCAATGATAGGCGTGGGCCAGAGGAATGGCGTTCTGGGTGAGTATGTGAGAGCTCATTGTGCGAGGATCGTTGATACTTGCCACGAGCAGGAGACCATGGTGCCATGGTGTAGCCAGTCCAGTCATTAGCTTCAGTCAGAGCATGTGGACAGCCCTGCAGTGTTGCTTCCCTCCCGAAGCTTTTGATACTAACCAAAAAAAAGGACCTACTAGGTATTTAGTTACCGGGCAACCATTTTACAGTCGTGACCATAGAGATACAAGCGGGAATCGTCAGTTGTCATCTCCTCGGTCATGTGTTTGTTAGTCAGTTTTGTAACTACCTATGATCTAGGGACGTTTGAATTACAGAACGTAAACGATTATGTATCGAGCTGTTATTAAGCTCCAGAGCATCACCAGTGAACAAAACATTTGTCCAAGGACCATTGCAGCATTCATCATCGTATACGATCTTGATCTTCGTAAATGGGAGTAGATTGAATAGATTAGATTAGAATAGATAAAACAATTGTGTTGAATGCCTATAACTTGTAACTTGATGATGTATGTGTGTATTAATACTGCTGTGACTGTGACTAGTATAATCATCATCATCTTATCGTTTCTTGCAATTGATGAACATTTTCACTTCATTGCCTACTTGCACCTTGAGATCTCATTCTATGGTTGAATGATCAATGTCTAATGATATATCCATGCACCTCCCCTGTACCAGCAGCTTCCTCTATAGTGTTGGACATCAATAATTTGCAATCTCTAGTTGAGTCATACAGACAGTACTACACTCGTCCTTGTGAGATATCACTTTTATGTCAGCGCATGTATATTGAAATATTCTCGTCAATAAAATAATATCAACCTGGAACTCGTTCAGTATTAATCGTTATTACACACGATCCGCCACAACGACTATACATGCCAAGTGTATGGGCCAGGATGTGTGTTTTCAGGTTTTACCGTAACCTGCTTTGCATTTTTGTTTGCATATAGATAAGTATCCAGATAAACGGATCAAACTGTTCTGTCATATCTCTGGCTATAAAGATTCACTCACACTATGGCGTGTTTTTTGTTTTCGTTTCTATTAATAGGCACTGATGGCAAACCCATTGGAGGACATAGGAAAAATTTACAGCATTATGCCTAGTTTTCCTCGTTGCACCAGTATATAAATGAGTGAAGGTTATTTAGCTCGTATCGTGTCTTTCGGATTCACAGTTATGAACTCGAGTTTACATTTCGCGATGGTGTTTACGCCATGGTGTGAGACAGACCTGATACATGGACATCAGCATTAGACGTCATATGAACAATAACATAGATTCTTACCAATACGAACACAATGATATGTAGAAACGGAACACTGTCACATGCAGTTCAGCGAAATTAACCGAACTTAAAAGCGTGCAACTGAACCGTTACATGCTTCTGTAGGAACGTGGATAAACTGATTAAACCTTTCCATCGTCTCTATGGCTATCGAGATTCACTCAGCCTATGACGTATGCTGTTTCTGTTTCAACTAACGCTCAACCATACTTTTTAATGTATTATTTTTGTCTTTTTAAAATTTGGGCCAAATCCTCCTACATCGCCAGCGGCTGAAGAGATGATGTAAATCCAGCTAGGGTCCATGCAGGTAGCAAAAGTATTGTAAGTCCCCCCCAAAAAACATACAACTTTATGGATGACAACTTCTTATTTATTGCATAGAGCGACGTTTCGATGTAGATCCTTACATCGTTATCAGTTTTAGCTTGATAACGATGTAAGGATCCACACCGAAACGTCTTTCTATGCAATAAATAAGAAGTTGTCATCCATAAAGTTGTATGTTTCATTTTTGAGTCACCAACTTCTAGAATGCCCATCAAACACTTATTGTAAGTCCCCATGGTTCCTAGTATGGTGATCTACTTTCAATTGTTGGCGATCTATAACCCGTGTTTTATATTGTATTGACTTCTTTAGTTTTATATTCATATCTGTGATACTCTAGTGTTTTTACTGTCCATCGTCGACAGATTTTACGCTTCAAAATGTTTTCATTTATTAATTGTATGAATTGTTTTCGTCACGATATGGCTGAGATATTGCCTGTGTGACGTTAAATATTAACTCACTCACTTACTGTTTCAACTAACATTGTTTGCTGTATAAGCTGATCAATTTGAACAATTCGCATTCAACAGATACATCTACTTGAATCATTATTTTAATACAGGAAACATTGCTCTATTAGCTTGATTTGCGATTTGCTTAATTGCTTTACACAGTGTCCCATTCAAACTAATTAATACTCCAAAATGAACATATTCCGTAACAATTACGATATCCTCCGCAAACAGAATAAAATTACACTGAGTGAGTGCGTTTAGTTTTACGCCGCTTGTAGCAATATTCCAGCAATATCATGGCGGGGGGACACCAGAAACGGGCTTCACATATTGTACTCGTGTGGTGAATCGAACACGGCTCTCCGGCATAAAGAGTAAGTGAGTGAGTTTAGTTTTCACGCCGCACTCAGCAATATTCCAGCTATATTGCGGCGGTCTGTAAATAATCGAGTCTGGACCAGACAATGCAATGATCAACAGCATGAACATCGACCTACGCAATTGGGATACGATGACCACCCGACCCCGCTAGTCGCCTCTTACAACATGATACTGAAGGTGAATTCTAACCCGAAGCTTCATGGGTCTCGGCATGAAGAGCAGACGCTTTAACCACTAAGCTACCCCACCGCCCCGAATAAAATTATGATCTTTCTGGACATGTCCCTTGGAAAGTGTTAAAATATCTGAATTGTATATGTGTTACTATAAGTGCGAACACATCTGAAGTGTTTTGTAGATGTTCTGCAGTTTCTGACAAGAGGACGGTGTCGTTAGCGTACTGAAGTAGCATGGGTTTAACAAATAGTATCAAGTGTCTGGCAATCAGTACATGTTACCCAAAACCAAATGTTTCACATAGACTTCTATAGTAACGTTATAATTTGTCTTTAAAACAGCGATTCCATGTACACATGGGTACAGTCTGGCCTATAAACTACAATAAAAACACACATTCTGGCTAGCTTATCATGTCGATTTTCCAAGCACATGGAGCTGAACACATCAACCCCAGTCCCGCACCAAATGTCACCAACTTGAAAATACCTATACACACATTAAGCATAAGTGATGGTGTTAAAGATGACTGCCCTAAATACTTAAAATGGTGGACAGTTTTTATTTAATTACTGGTAGGATGTGCTTTTAAAAACATAAAACTCTTACACTATTTCATCCAATCACAGCTGTCACATGTCTCTATCTGGCCAGAAGTTAACACACGACGCTGGCGAGCAAGCGATTCTGATTTAGTGTAGTAGACCCTACATTGACAGTCTATATACCGTATACCTGGTTGTCACGTACAAACTCTTCCAGGTCTTTGATGTACATGGCAAATAGAAACGGTGGTTGCATTTTCACCCTGAAAGCTGATACGCACTGGAAATCGTTTGCAGACTATGAACAAGTACAGGAAACTGTTCTCTAATAATGCTGATTAAAACCTTTAAGATAATTTGACGAAACGTTTGTCAGTGATATTAAACGCATTATCAGAGGCTATTTGGTAGGATTTACTTCTCGAGGGTAAGTCGGCCATATGTATGAATATGTGTTATGACTCAAAACGAGTGGCATGCATGTAGTCATACAACTCTACCGGGCTGACAATTAGTACATTATTCGACAACGATGTGAAGGAAGCTTTAGTCAATGTTATAGGAGAGACGTACAATCTGAGTTCGACGACTGAAGGGGTAATATCCCCGTACACATCTCACCAGACAAAGACAGACAAGAATGCAGGGTAAACCAGGTGGCATTGGGCAGAATGTATCATATAACATTCCATCGCCAAGCGTGTGATTTGAAATTATCTGAAGCGTTGAGGCGAAATTGTAACTACCAATACCCATAAAGGGACACAAAATATAGTCTTGTTTCTGAACGTGTCATCTGTTGTGTATCTTGAATTTGTCCACTCTATCAAGATGGACACAAGCGTAGCAGCTTTGTTGTTCTGCTTTTTTACACTTGTTTCGATTAGCGTGTATATCGTATAATCATCGTTAGTTCAAATTACCATCGAAGACAATAACTTCTATAACAAGGCCAGATAGAGTGTTATCCGTTAAACGTATATATTGCATTTTACACATACAGAAGCATGGCAAATATCAGAAAGAGAGGTGATTTTTACAAGGTGATTTATTTACTCGGACAGCTGATTATGGTTCAAATGTGAAATCAGAATATGAAAGCATTCAAGTATGCTTAATTCACTAAGTACTATGTTTCAAATGTGAATTACTAGTGATCCCAAATGTGAAGTCACAATGAATCATGCTATACATGTAGTGCTACCTATTCCCTCAAACTGCTGTAGTAGGTGACGAATGATTGACGAGTGAAATCGGAGTAGTCGTAAATGTATTGTTCTGTCCGTCTTGTCAACATAAGGCTTCGTGCGGGCCACGCAGTGAACTGTTCCTTTGTCAGGCTGGCATACTGAAGTGACTCGGGTATGTTTACCAACCAGGAAGTAAACGTCACATAACATGGTCTGACCTGACAACACAGACAGAGGAAAACTATCATCCACTAGCCCAGATACAAAGGTGAGACAATCTACTGACTCATGATTTAAACAGAAAACGTTCCTGATAATTACCTAGTCTTCAACAATATCTGGACTATTTTATACAACTATTCCTGTTTACATATATATCTAGTTTCCAACTGTCATCTGCTGACATCGATATTCAGCATGCACTGAACTGATAAGCTAACAACCACACCGTGTGATCTGCCACATAAGTCAAAACCTCCATTGGTAGATCAGTCAGGACAAACTCCAACAAATAGGTCGATATACTACGAGTTATGATAACACGTAACATACCGTATACAAGGCCCTACGTAACAGGCGCGGACACCCGCTCTGTCACATCTGTATATTGTTTTGGGAAGTTTAGCTTGGTGATCAGGTTCACCTGGTCACACATTGAAATGTTTGGTTTTCGGAGGTCTGGTTAAATCACAATGTAGCCTGTACATAGAACATGTGCATAGATTCTCGTGAAGTGATGAGGTGAAAATATTGAGAAATTAGAGGATCTGTCGAAAGGAACCTATTAGTGTTGTTTACACAAAGATAAATATGTCGGTATTCCTTTTCGAAAAAGTTTCATCGTCTAATCATGACCAGTTACTCGTAAACGGTAGTCAGTTCAGTGATATATGGCATATTGCATATCAATTAGAGAGATCATTTTTAAGATGGGCGCCAGACTGAAACATTCTCCAGAGTGGTCTGTACAACCTGTATTGAGTTCGAGTGTTTGGTTAACGTCGCTATAAACAGTATTCCACATAAATCAGGTCAAGTAAACTCAGAGTGGTAGTAAACGTTGGAGTGGTGTAAATGTCAGGTATGCAGCACTTCAAACCCACGAGTACATACATGGTTGTGGGAAGCCGATAAACTACAATCAGAGGGCGCAGACGTGCGTTAGTGACTGGGCAACGAGACCGTATCAACACATAGAATATTATCATAATTCAATACTGGACACACTACATGTCTCATATCTTTCATGGTGACGTTTTTTTTTAAATATCGCAGACCACAACTGAATATGAGAATGGGTATGTTTATTGATATGTTACCTTTTCAGGACACTGCTGTCAATGGCGTTCCTTCGTATTATAGCAACATCTGTGTTTGCAGTTGTCCTGTTGAAAGGTAAATAAGGCTTTAGAGTAAAGATTATCTATGAGTATTAGCAAACAAAATCTATTTCTTAATTAAATACTTCCTGCATCTACTACTCAACATGTATCATTTTCACAGACGTACATAGTGCGTACTAGTATCGAGGGCAGGACCAACGTAAACGGTGAGGGAAGATATTGATATCGATGGAATGGTTTTCGGGGTTTAATAAAGAAGTGTAAAATATAAAGATTTGCCTAGACTGTGATCCCTCATTTATCAGCTAGATATATGTGCCCGCCAGAGACCTGGCACCTATTCCTCATTGTCAGGTGTTGGGGGAGCAGTGAGTGTATCAGTGTCAGGAGGTACAGGGATACCCAACCAGCAGGCTCTGACACTGAGATGCAGCTACACTGCGACACCTGGTGATATTGTTACTTATTTCCAGGTGTTGGGGGAGCAGTGACTGTATCAGGGTCAGGAGGTACAGGGATACCCAACCAGCAGGCTCTGACACTGAGATGCAGCTACACTGTGACACCTGGTGATATTGTTACTTATTTCCAGGTGTTGGGGGAGCAGTGACTGTATCAGGGTCAGGAGGTACAGGGATACCCAACCAGCAGGCTCTGACACTGAGATGCAGCTACACTGTGACACCTGGTGATATTGTTACTTATTTCCAGGTGTTGGGGGAGCAGTGACTGTATCAGGGTCAGGAGGTACAGGGATACCCAACCAGCAGGCTCTGACACTGAGATGCAGCTACACTGTGACACTGTGACACCTGGGGATATTGTTACTTATTTCCAGGTGTTGGGGGAGCAGTGACTGTATCAGGGTCAGGAGGTACAGGGATACCCAACAAGCAGACTCTGACACTGAGATGCAGCTACACTGTGACACCTGGTGATATTGTTACTTATTTCCAGGTGTTGGGGGAGCAGTGACTGTATCAGGGTCAGGAGGTACAGGGATACCCAACCAGCAGGCTCTGACACTGAGATGCAGCTACACTGTGACACCTGGTGATGTTGTTACTTATTTCCAGGTGTTGAGGGAGCAGTGACTGTATCAGGGTCAGGAGGTACAGGGATACCCAACCAGCAGGCTCTGACATTGAGATGCAGCTACACTGTGACACCTGGGGATGCTGCTATTGTGTTCGCATGGAGGAGGGTGGAGGGCAGCTCTACAGTGAACATAGTCAGTGGATCAGTGACTGCTCAGACAGCTGTGTTCCTGGACTCCTGGCAGAGCAAGGGCGTGTTTGTTGGTGACTACACCTCCTCCGTCGACATCCAGCTGCCTGCCAGTCACGTGACCTCCAGCTATGCCGGGATCTACAGGTGTGCAGTGACTGGACTGACAGAGTCTGGTTATGCTGATTTCACTGCCTCTGTGTTGAGTAAGTATTTGACAGCCATTTTAGTGAATGAAGGATAACCCGAGACCTCCAGCTATGCCGGGACCTACAGGTGTGAAGTGTTGTTGCTGCCAGGGTCTGGTTATGCTGATGTCACTGCCTCTGTGTTGAGTATGTATGCATGCAAACCAACAACATGACTTATAAAATGATTGCCTGTTTCATCAGTATAACATGTTTTTTTTAAATGTGTGACATAATCTAATACTTGGTCTATACACTTTATAAAGTGCAGTGCACTGTGCGTATGTATAAAAAAGCAAGTTCCAACTTGACACGAACGAAAGTCTTCATTTCTTTGTAATATATTGATTCCAGCATATACGTTTCAGTGTGGCATATACTGATACGTTCAAGTGCTGTACACTAAGAAGTATACACATATATTCTACACGTTTGATAATGATTCATAAACATGTGATAATGATTCATAAACAGATGCTCATGATATCATCGGAACCGTACAATCCAGTCTGCTTGGACAGAAATGTATGATGGATTATGATACCTTTATTCATTACCTTCCTTTGTTTTCCTGATAATATGATCCAATGATAAGCTCCATAAAATAATGGATACACTATGTATACCAACTGAGTGCAGATGATTAAACACAGATATGTTGTAAATATTATTTAAATTGACACATGTACGGGTTACGGAACTCAAACGTAGAACCCCCACGTCTTCCCTTCAGCAAGCATTATACACCGGATTTGATTCAGTCAAATTACTCCCATATAGATACCTTTCTGAATTATAGATATCAGCCCTTAAGAATCCACAGGCATTGCTTCAGAGTTTGTTTATGACGTGTAAACTATAACACCTTTCGTGCATCAACACATATTTTTAAGAAGCAATTTAAAATGAAATTACACACACGTTGTCTCATGTCAGATGTATATTTATCATAAGGCATTGACCTGTGTTTTCATTAATATGTTTTTGAAAAAAAACATAATTCTTCAACATTAAAATCAATGTGAACTTTTGAACTAGACGTGATTTAAGCATACAGCATATGGAATGTATACTTGTACACATAAACATCTGACCTCCCTTCCACCTACACAAGGAAGGAGTCATCCCGTTCCCTGATATATCAATTCTTTATTACAGAAGTGTAGGTCATCGGCCCATAACTACATAGGTTACATTTACATGGCAAAACATGGTGTGTACAGTATAGATTGATACTTTTTAACATCTTAGATACATTGCATTATAGATAAAGCTAGCTAAGTTATTTATAAGTTTACAATCTGATGATGACATGAGGAATTTGAATTTTGCTTTACTTGTTTTGATACAATAGGTTTTAGGTAAATTGTTGATATACATTAGTACCTACACCAGGTTGGAAGCTTCTCTGCGCTGTCATCAATATACAGCCTCACTCTTCTACCTACACAGTGATTGAGTCATCCCGTTTCTTGATATATAGTAGTACCTACATCAGAAGGAAGCTACCACTATGCTGCCATCAACAGTCGGGGATCAGGCTTAGTCTCAGTTAGTGCACAAACGTATTTAACAACAATTCACTGACTATTTATTTCAGACCCTCCTTCCATATCTGGACTACAGCCAACACAGGCCGTCACAGAGTTCTCTGACCTCAGGATAGACTGTAGCACCTACACCACACCAGGCAACCCTCCAACAACAAGCTACACATGGACCTATGGTGGTTCTACTGTCAGTACTGGGGCTGTACTTGACAGAAGGAACATCAGCAGGAGTCAGGGAGGAGACTACACCTGTACTGCCAGCAACAGTCAGGGATCAGATTCAGGCTCAGTCAGTGTAAATGTACAATGTAAGTTACCCCGATACCTTCACCTATATCTAACACTGTCTGTTGCTGTGATTGTACAGTTTCAGCATATACACATTTCTGTACAGGTAACATGTTGCACATTCTGATCTAATATAGCCACAAAATCTGGAGACACAAAAGTTAACTATCGTCAACTGAATTTAGCAAATTGATTTGTAATCTTTAAATCCACCGTCTATATCTGGACTACCACCAACACAGACTGTCACAGAGATCTCTAACCTCAGGATAGACTGTAGCACTTACACCACACCAGGCAACCCTCCAACAACAAGCTACACATGGACCTATGGTGGATCTCCTGTCAGTACTGGGTCTGTACTTGACAGAAGAAACATCAGCAGGAGTCAGGGAGGAGACTACACATGTACTGCCAGCAACACTCAGGGATCAGATTCAGACTCAGTCAGTGTAGATGTGCAATGTGAGTAGCTGGTGCTAGACAATTCTTAACAGTATTCGTTCTCTACCTTGAAAAATAGACTATAGTCATATGGCGGATCTTCCGTTCTACTGGGGCGGTACAGGACTAGCTACTGTTCTACTGGAGCTGTATTTGGGTTTTGACAGGGGACCAAAGTCTACTTCTGTGAGGTATGACCGTATCACAATTAACATCACCAACTCTTTGAACATGTTTAGTTTCAGTATGCAAGGTGTGACTGCGACGACGTCACTATCTATCTCATCCTAGCTACCAGTTGCATTACCCATTATGCCGCGCGCCATATTGCAACTGCTGGGAATAGTGTGGGCAGCTGGTTTAGAAGAATGCTATTGTTTGCTTTCAGTTATATGTTATATAAATATATATTGAATGTTAATTACTAAACAGATATGCTCTATTGACGTATACGTGCAATCACGTTGACAATATTAGTTAAGTTGGCCCATTACAATAAATTATCAGTTCCGTCAATACAGTTGAATCTATCATTGATCAATGAAAACCAGGAATAGCCTTCTATCACATTTTTCGTATGAGTGAACCTCGGTATATAATGGCACAAAACAATTCATTCACTATTGAAATTATTCACATCTTGTCATGATCGTCCCCAGCTATCAACCATGCAAACGACATTTTTTGGTATGTAAATATATGTCCGGCGAATGGTGAAGCATTTCTAAAGTGAGCCTCTAAAAGAAGTTAATTAAACAGTATGTATGTGTTCCAGCTGACCTCTGAGCTATTGTTTATTAACATTGACAAAATCCACTAATACACGAATACCCTAAATATTAATGTAAGGTGTACATGAGGTGTTGCATACAGCTGACCATTTCTTTATACCACCAGGGTGACTGGGTAGCCTATCAGCACAAGGCCCCGCTGGTCACGTCGAATGCCCGGGTTCAATTCCCCACACGAGTGCAACGTGTGAAGCCACTTTCTTGTATTAGGCGTCGTGGCCTTCAAACACAAATTTGATTTTATATATCTAACGTGCGTGTGTGTGAATTTGTGACAGCAATGTGATATCATACATGAATAATTAACCAAAAACCTTTCCCACATTCAAAGCTGAGTTGCTTGTAAGATTCCGGATGTATCATCCGTTTATGAATCACCCTCAAATAGCGATACCAAGTGTAAGCTGGAAAACAAGCTCGGGAACACGTTAACCGTCAAAAAACATGGAATGCCATTAACCATCATATCTGCGACAGATGCGGCAAATGTGGAAAAACCTCCACATGCCTACCTGAAAACGTTTAGAAACTTTTAATAAGGCATTGAACGTTGTCACCTTGTTCAAACAACGTTGAGGCTCATAAGGGTCGCTATAGAAAGGTCATGCTTGATTGTACCTCAGAAGCTGTGACATGACACCAAAGGATGCGGCCGCTTGAGTAATGCTTAACATGAAGGTATTTCATTCCTCTAAACTTCACGGTTTAGTCAGAGAAACACTTATATAATCACGCAACTAAATAATTTATCAGAAGGGATTAGTTTGTCGACATGGTGGATTTCCCGTAATCACATCGTCACAGAAATGTTCGAAGGAATGTTACAAAAAATGTCTGAGTGCATATGATGCCCTGCCGTGTACACAGATGAAATGTGGCAATGCCAAGATGACAGCTTCAGATATCATTTTTTTACATCAACGATGAAACTACATGTCATAGGCTACACCATACTTTGTATTGTTGGAATTATTGAAATCATAAACAAACAACGTCAATGAAAATCAATGAATATTACATAAACACACACACAGTTGATGTTTCTTTCAGACCGAGCAAGCATACGGACGTTTACCGCCAACTCTGAAAGTGGCTCAGTGACAGTCAACGAGTCTGATACAGTGACACTGAGCTGCCAGGTTGACAGTAATCCAAAGTCAGTCATCAGGTTACTGAATGGATCTGAGGAGCTGACAAGGGCAGATAACTCCCTGACAGCAACATACAGACTGGAGTCAGCAGACTGTAGACAAAGAGGGAACTACTCCTGTACTGCCACTAACAACATCGGGGCACCTGCCACCCAGAGGGTGGAGCTGCTGGTTAAATGTAATATTTATTTGACCATTGTATGTGTATTGTAGTTTATTTAGGTTATAATTTAGCGTAAATATGTTACATTTGGTATTACAATCAACATCTCGTTCAAGTATTCTTTTGATCTTGCAATGTAGTACTCTCTGCTATATGTAAACGCATACAGACATGCTAAAAATCTAAAAAGGGCCACAATCTGGATGACCAGAACTTCTGTTACTATTTTATGGTAGTTCTCTAAAATCGACATTTTATCATTCGAATTACTGCCCACATGGTTGCAATGTGTGGAGCCCATTTCTATTGTTCCCCCGCAGTGATATTGCTGGAATATTGATAATGGCGGTGTAAAACTAAACTCACTCACTCATTACCGACTGTAAGTACGGCCTTTCCCTATGTGACACATTACTGAGTCTTGAATAGCCATTATGCTGTTGTACATATACCAGGTTCTCCACGACTTGTTGACTCAGTGTCCCAGCAACTCAAGTTCGCCGCTACACTCGGTGGTGACGTGACTGTGTCTGTGTCAGTCCTGGCCCATCCTTCTTCCTACATTCACCTGGAGTAGATCCATCAGCACCAGCCAGGACCTCACTAGTTCCTCCAGCCCTGTCTCAGACATCTCAGTCACTGCCAGACTACACCTTACTAAACTCCAACAGCAGGACTTCGGGGACTACAGTCTGACAGTGGGCAATGGCGTGGGGAGTCCAGTCACATACATTGTCAGCGTAGTGGCTGTAGGTGTTATGCTTTCAGATTTACCATTGAAGCTTACCGGATTCCACTTTTTTCATTTTTTTCTGTCATTTACCTTCATTTGGACTTGTTTGATTGGTACTCTAGAAGTTGCAGAGTATGACGACATTTTTTGTGGATATACAACTTCTTTATTCTGTATAGGTGGCGTTATGATCGACATAGATTCTAATGTTGTCAAGCAAGAATGAGTTGTATATACATAACAATTGTCCTCATTTTTCATTTGAACTTTTCAACCAATGGAATTACAATTTCTATAATTACATTTTCTATGTTTATTTCTTGTAAGGGCCACCAGAGACACCTGTACAGTTTCGATATCTGGATAATGCAACAACGTCGTCAATATGGTTGTCGTGGCTGCCTGGGTTCAATGTTGGACGCACTCAGATGTTTCTAATTGAGTATCTACCGTGGACTGTGTATAAATCTTATAATGACAGGGGCGAGATGATGGTGTTAGAAGTGACGGGGCTTTTACCTGGAGAGACTTACATATTCCGACTACAAGCTAGAAATGACTACGGGGATTCTGATGGAAATGTATTGGTAGAAGCTGGGACTGCTGGTGGTAAGTGTATCTTGGCGAGAATCACTCACTGGTTACTCTTAGTATCTCATGGACAACTTGGTAACTGCATCTGAATGAAATAAATGGATAGCTTTCATGAACAATTTCTTATTTGGGTACATATTCAGATAAAAGAACAAGAGTAATTTCAGAGTCCTTGTAGGCTAATGCACTTCGTGTTTCACAAAGGGAACGTAATTGACTCTATATCTGAATAAATATAATTATTTACACTAAGTATAATTAATGTTAAAGTTTGGAACGTTTTCGTGTGAAGATATCAATTCATCATCAGATATTAGGGCGTAAATATGAATATGCACAATCAACGTTTTCGCAAATCTTTGTATTTACAGTTAACATTTATGTCGGGGTTTGATGTGATGAGGATGGGCGTGAATAACACTGGGAATGAACCCCTTGGGGAACTGGGGAAGGACTGGTCCTCATTGACCCCTGCTTGTTGTAAACGGTGACTAACTGGTTCTGGTGGTCAGACTCTGTGCTTGCCATACAAGGCGACTATGCTTGTCGTAAGGCGACTAACGGGATCGGTTGATGCATGTCATCGGTTCCCATCAAGTCATGCTGTCATTGTCTCGTCCATATATTACAACCCACCGCTTGCAAGGTGTATTTATATTACAACCCACCGCATCATCTACAGATGAATAGTGAAGACCGAATCTCAAAAGTGAATTTTATCCTAAGGGTTTTACAGAAAACTCTGTCGTGACACCAAGTTGTAACAAACGTTGTTATCATACTTGTGAGGAGCCCAATGCATAACGTTTCCTCAACGTAAACTTGCAACGGTGTTATTACGTTGTGACACAAGGTTGCACAGTGATTTGATAATAACGTGGTCAGAAAGAATGGAAATTACGTCTCTGTGACTTTAGTATATTAATGGGATGGAAATCCCAAAGTGGAATGAAAGAAAATAGAAAATAATGCACTACCTTGTTCTTTTACGTCTGCAGAAACGTTAGACAACGTATGTATGTAATGGTACTGTAACGGTGTGAAATAACGTTATACAATGACGTCATACTAATGTTGCGACAACGTTGTATCATGACGTTACCAATGTACAACCGGAAACGCCGAGAAAACGTTGTGTGTTAGCTTGGTACACACACTAATGACTTGTGCGGGGCTTGTGCTTGTCACTAGAATATTGTACAGGGCTCAGTTGAACCACAAATGCACACAATTCACAGTCATATTTTATGCTGTTATTACATTATAGATCCACCAGACCAGGAAAAGCTCGAAGCTTCATGTATCAGTACAGGGGTATTAGCAGGAGCGACAGTAGGAGGCATTCTTTTTACGCTGCTCATTGGAGGGATTGTTCTAATTGTGCTGTACCGAAAGGGGTACAGAGTTACAAACATTCTTAAAGGTACACAGTATAAGTACAACGTATGTATTTTTCTAGTTTCCATCCACAGTAATTTACAGAAAAGGCATTTGTCTCTCTCCATTTCGTTGATGATGTGACAAGTTGATATTTGTGAAGTGTGTTTCACACTCTAATGACATTTTTACTATTCCTGTTTTCCAGGAGCTGCACAAAAAAGGTAATCCATGTCAATATAGTTCGATGAAACATTACATGTAAAACTACGAAATTAGGTAGTAACTTACAATAGGTTAACTAAAAAAAATATTACTTTGTATATTATGATGTTTATCACCCGATTGTTTTATTTCAAACCTGACCTGATACTGGTTTGCAGCTCTAGCTATCCTGAACCTGTGGAAATGGACAACAGAGGATATTCATCTCTAGGTATGTACTTGGTGTTGGATGTTCCCCTCTAGTTGATAGTACAACCATCTCTGGACCTGTTAGCACTAAACCAGTACAATGTGTTTCAGATCTGATCACGGCTCCAGCGCAGTATTTAAATGTGGAGGAGGAATCAGAAAAACAACAGTACACACAGTTGAAGATTTATGACAACACAAAAGGTAGGGGCAGTTTGCTTCATATTGTTTAATCTCATGTTTTCACATGGATGTATTGTCAGCTTGTGGGATAGCCAGTACAAAGAATTGAGGTATAATTTGTATTTGTTGATGAATTATGTAATTAATCTTATCTTCAGTGGATGCTGCAGCAGATACAAGTACCTATGAGGGCGTGACAGAGACTCCCCCTGTGACCTACGAGTCCATCAGGGCATCGCCATACCAGAACATTGGGGCACATTCTCGAGGTAACCAAACCATAAAACACTCCTGATGATTCTAGTTGCATTACATCGTCATGGATCAACTCTTAAATGTTTTAACAGTAGTAACCCAAAGCATATGCTTCCCCTTCTGTTCGAGTTTAATACGTTTACTTAATGTGATATGTTCAGTTGACATGATATTTGTATGTTTAATTACCTTGACTTCTGTACATTTCAGGTCCTGACGAATGAAATACCCGCAAAGTCAACATCATGCCATGAGTTTCAGAAGCGGACACACAAACACGACGTTCAGGGCAGAGCATTACTTTGCTTTGAGACAGGGCGTCCTTGTTATTTGCTTTATATTCATATTACTTCACAAGATAAAGTTCCACATGCACATTTACTGTAAGGGAATTCAAATCATGTTGGTTACGCTTGTCATCTTTGTCGAATATATATTTAATAGTGAATATTTCGCAAAGCAAATAAGCAATATATTTTCACAATGAACACACAAATCCATTTGGTGATTACGTGGACAGATGTACATAAACAGAGACAGAACAGTATAACTCCGATCTACCAAGTATGTCATAATATAGTATGGTAGCAGTATTGGGGTATCAGTCGTGATTTAGTGAGGTGTCAGTAGGGCTGGAACAACCGATCACCAGTTCTACAGTAGGCACGAGGATACCTGTGCACTACAGAATTAACATCTGGGTGTGTAGTCACTCGAACGAAAACGAACTACCTGAACGTGCTAGGGTCGTTAATACATACTCAGAGCAGGAGACCATTGCCCCATGGAGTGTCCAGTCCTGTCATCAGACATCAGCTCTACTGAACACATGTTGAATACTCTGCAGGTCACCCTCTAACAATGCCCTGTCCATCCGACGATTTCACCAGAACTCGTCAAAGTTCTCACTGACGTGTCGAACAGCCATCCTTCCTGACACCTATTCCTGGCGATGAAAGGATGTGGGAGTAAACACGTTTACTTTTAAAGGTGATCTGAGTGATAATTGTTTACATGTACATGTCCTTGTGGAACATACATGTACATGTCCTTGTTTCTTTAACCTATCTCACGAAAGTTTTTCCTTTGCTATTCGACAGATGCACAGAATGTGATACCCGTGAAGATCCGGGTAAAACTAAACTCACTCACTCACTCACAGAATATGAATTGCTCAATCTGTGAATCTCAACAAACTTTGAGTAGAATAATATATGCAAGTGACTTCAGCTGAATTAATTTGAATAGATAGTATGTGTTAATTCCAACAGTTGTACAACTGCCACAAAGCAAAACTTGATTTCACGAACGGACATCGGTTAAACCAATTTTTCTCTTCAGAGTGGGACGGGGGAGCATCTTTGAGACTATATTTAGCACAAATTAGGAGATAAACCTACTGTGTGGGAAAATCAGAGGTATATAACACCTGAAATTATAATAGCTCTAAATTTCATTTAAAACCGAACGCGTAGCGTGAGGTTTTAAATGAACAATTTAGAGCTATTATAATTTCGTTATATACCTCTGATTTTCCAACACAGTAGGTTTATCTCCATTCTACCATGACTATTTTATGAACAATTTCAGGTGGAACTCTTTCTTTGGTTATGAGTCAATACGTGAAGCGGCCTCGCATTCCAATCTCAAGTGGCATCGCCCGAAACGGGGTGATTGGTGGCAGACCGTCAATAACTAACAAACTCCAGATTCAGTAATAACAAATCACGGTTTGTTTTTTCAATGCATTAATCATCGATCATTAACTGATAAGTTGGAAAACATATATCAAATAAGTTTAAAAAGCTTGGTTCACATTTGAAAATTCCACCGTAGACCCTTTCCCCACCAGAATAATGGCAGCAACCTCATGGCCTTGACCTTTTCTCGGAAGTCATTGTTTACATTTACGTGCAAATTTGGAAAGATGCGACAGGAGAGCCTCTGACAGTTTGCGCAAGGTTAACCTGATTGTATGACTGAGATAGTCTTTGATATCTAATTACTGGTACTGGTACAAAATTTAAGAGTAGAGGCGCTTTTGCTGTAACGAGAAGTCCGTGTTGTACCGAATTTAGATACTGTTGAATTTTGCGCCCTGTCAACTTGACGATTTCACGCACCTCTACGTCTGCGTGCGACAGCTGTGGTGACCCTTACACACTCATGTGTGTACTTTGTGCTCAAATTCGATTCTACGGATATTATTTTTTACATTTTGGAAAGTGTTTTGTGACCTAGTGGCTTCAAAGTGTAGTGAATTCAAATTGAATCGGATTCGCTGGCATGTTCGCGAGGCTGTTGACAAAGAGCCAGATTTGTGGTGATATTTCCGAAAGGATGGAACAGGACATGAGGGTGTACCTCTGGCATAAACACGGTAAGGTAATTAATTATACTTTAATAGACTACTTTAGATCAAGCAGTGTAATGGATAAGAGGGATCATGACTAAGCTAAATAACTTTTTCAACGATATTATACTTTTAGAAAAAAATATGTTGGGCTAAACAGAACGGTTTGCAGATTCTGTAATTACTACCGCTAAATTTGAAACAGTACAAATTTCAAAATATCATTTTGTTTGAACTGATAACCCAACTGTTTATTTATGTGGACGGAAGGGATTCAAATTTCTTCGGCGTTCGATGTTAATGCATCCTCCGTTACCGGATCAAGATCAGTGGCGATATCGTTGACGAAAGCTGATAATAAATTTAACACGGAAATTATGTAGCAGTCTATTGCTGGATCTATTCTGACATAACATAGAATCAACGTAAACATATTTGTTCTTGCTGATTTTTTATTCGGAAAGCAGACGATGTTTTGATCTTGTTCGACTGAATATTTGTTTCCATGCTTTCGAAGTACTTTTGTATGTATAAACACCTATTGCTGTGATTTACGCAAGTAGTGAGTCGAGCCCGTCATCGCTAAATCCATCTTTAAAGACATATGTGTAATTTCCGACAGCAAAATCGCCGTAATTTATCGATGCATCGGTAGGTTGTTTGGTGTCCGCCATGTTGGTGGGCAGACAAAAATAGTGCATTACCGTAAACCATGTATAATTGCGCACGGAAAATCAGAGACCAGTATAACGTGATTATATACCTCTGAATGACTTTAATTAACCAATCACAATCCAGTGTTTACTGAAGTCATGGTAGAATAGCCTAGAAGTCCGACTGCAGGATACTAAGTGATGGTTCATTGTGTGACTTGTGTCATTTGTTAGCTTGTGTTAGGTTTGTCCACATGTAATGTAACTTCAAACACCCAACTGTGTTTCATCAAAACCATGCTGTTGGTCTCGAATATTCACATCATTCTTATATCGTTTCTTTTCCATGTTTTCTTTTCACATGTTTTGCGTGTATCATATTGCCCCAGAATATGTTAATAGAAAAGAAACCAAGGATTTCACATATGTAGTGACAGAAAGACTGAACTCCATGGATTTGATACTTTTGTTGTTTGCTATACGCAAATGTATATGTAAGTGTTTCATTTATTCATTATCATGTTGTGATATGTTGTGAAACTCGAGAAATCCCTCTCTAGTGCTTCAACATTGGAGACTGGCATATTGAAGACTTCTACAAGTTTGTTTAGAGACTAGTCTTAGACACTAGTTCAAGTCACACATTAAATCTGCAGGTATTCTGTATGAATGTATACCGACTCTTGGTAATTACATCAATGGGTATATAGCGTCTACACAGCCACATTTTAAAGCACATATACAGACACTCAGACAAATAGTAAGTGCACATATACCCTGTCGCCCAACACTATATATGACTCACAACCTAGTTGATTTGAGCAACATGTAACCTGTAGTGAATATCCAGGTGTTCTGAATGCCATGTCTACACAGATTACAATCGACAAAGCTACACTGTCACCCAACTCCACAACCTGCTAAATGTATGTGTGACATACGACCTACTTCTCTGAATACCCGTCTGAATGACACACATCAAGCTGTACATATCCAGTTAGCATATCAACACAACCGGAAGTATAATTACATACACTGTTCACCAGTGCTAGTATCTAGTTTCACACACCACCAACATGTCTGTACTGTACCTCCGTCTTATCTTCACAGTTGGGACTCTACTGGTGGACATTCCTCACAAACAACGGGGTAGGTACACGTATGTCTATAACATGTTTAAGTTGTAAATGCATTAGGGGTAACGCAACGGATCTCACACCTCAGGTCCCACATATACAGTCACCTAAAATAAAACCAGGAAGTAGATTGTACGAAGTAGATTGTATGTATACATGTACCGTTGATAACGACCGGTAGGACAGAGCAGACAGCTATATAGTGGCCTGCAGCGTTGATAACAGACAAAGTGGCCTAAACAGAGAGTGTAATAGCTAGGAACATAAAGCAAAATCGAAGAAATAATCAATTTCCTATACTTTCAGACAAACCGAAGAAAGATTTAGTTTCAAACTTCCGAATGAGTTAAACACCTTGCTTCCTAAGATTTAGGATAACAAGAATAATGTTTAAGTAGATGAGTGTGGGTTTAAAACTGGTTTAAACAGTAAGTGAGTCACGGCCTGGTGTGTCATGTTGATGAAGGTGGAATGACAGGATGTATGCACAGCGTGGACATTTAGCTTGGTTAAAAACAGGTTTGGTGCTGACATACCAAGACACATAATGCGGTAAACCGCTGGTGTTTGAACCCTCAGGAATTTTTCCAGCACACCGAAAAGGGACTCAACTCCGCAAAGCGAATTCTGGTATCGTGGATGACTGGGACACATGTTCCTCTGCATCGTGAAACAATATGACACAAGAAATGACGTCAATGACAACAACAGTGCTGAATAAGTCGGATAAGTTGTTTACCGGAAGGAGAAGATTTTGTCTATAATATATAGTCATGTGTTGTTATTCTGATTCTGAAGTCTTTGATTTCCGTAAAGAGTATGTACATGCTGTTGTCATCGTTCTGTGAATTTCAGTTTCTGCCCAGAGCTATCAGCTGACGTCATCATGTGGAGGTTCTGTACAGGCAGGAGGGAGCTGTACCCTGATGTGTTACACAGGAGACGCTTCACATACAACTATACAGTGGCAGAATGGAACTTTATTATACAGCGTAAACCAGGGTAGCTGCAGCTCCACCTCCCCCTACCTCCCAGCTGACTACACCACCTCCTGCCCCAGCTCCACCAACTACACCCTCACCATCAACAACGTCGTGTACGGCAGGGATAGACTCGGCTGGAGGTGTGACTATCAGTTTGGAGGCAGAGAGAGTAATCAGATACAGATGGATGTACTAGGTACGTTTGCCATGTTGACATTTGGCTAAAGTGCGGTGTATGTGAGATGGATGTCACATCACCTGTGTTTTCAAACCTCAACACTCAATTGTTCAAATCTGTAGTGTCGTACTGCAGCTGTGTTATTATTGTAACTTCCTCTGACCAACGTTACCATCTCCAGAACTACTGCATCTATCGTCTGTGTCTCCAAAAGACTGCCGTCCTACACAGATACACTGTACTTTATGAAGATATTTAGTTCTGTTTTTCTGACCAGTCATACCATCCCTTGAAACTATTTCATCTATCGCCTGTATCTTTCACCCCCACCACCACTCAACTCGGAGACAGCATACTTCATAAAGCTGTGTTATTATTTCAGTTCCTCTGAACAGTGTTAGCCTTACTAGAACTACTACATCTGTCACCTGCGCCGCTGTCTCCAATCCACCGCCGTCAGTGACGCTGTACAGAGACGGAACCAGAGTGGCCACCAGCCCAGCAGCAGTAGAGGGATACACTGGCTTGACAGCCACCATCAACTACCAGCTGACAGACAACAGTAGGAACTCCCTGTACTACTGTCAGGCATCAAATACAGAGACGAGAGTGAACTCATCATATTCCTTTCCTGACAGTAAGTAATGTCTGTTTAGATAACAGTTTGATATCCAACAATACGAACTCACCGTACTATTGCCAGGCAACCAACACACAGTCTATCGTCAACTCTACCTATTCTTTTCCTGACAGTAAGTAATGTGGATGTTTCTTTAGATAACAGTTTGATTTCCATCAGTAGAAACTCTCTGTACTATTGCCAGGCATCCAACACGCAGTCTACAGTCAACTCTACGTATTCCTATCCTGACAGTAAGTAATGCGAATGTATGTGTAGATACGTGTGTGATATCCAACAGCAGGTACTTCCTGTTCCTGTACTACTGCCAGGCTTCCAAAACACAGTGTAGAGTCAACTCTACTTATTCCTTTCCTGACAGTAAGCACATGTATTGATGTATCCTGAAATGTCATTCATGCTGTTGAGATACTTTTTCTATCCCTAAGATATTGACATGTCGGGTATGACCGTTATATACGTTATTTCCTTTCCTTTTCCCTTTCTATCCAGTTGCTGTCAACAGTGTGTCACTAACAAACATCACGTCAGCCAATCAGGAAGTGGGAGCTGCTGAAGGTCAACCCTTGACCTTGACCTGTGTGGCATCTGACAGTTACCCTGCTGCCACAATCACGTGGTTCAAGAACAGTGTCCTGGTGGCAAGTGGGATATCCATTGATCATAGACCACAATCAGGCGTTGTCCAGACCACAAGTACAATGACCTTCACTCCTGTCAGAGGTGACCTTGGTCATACAGTCTACTGTCGCGCCACCAACATCCACAACCCCTCCCCAGTGCAGTCTGACAGCGCCCGGATAGGAGTGTGGTGTGAGTTGTATATTAAGTAGTAGTTTAGTTCTCATGTCAGCCAATCAATACTTGTCTAATTGCCACACTGAGTGAATAGAGTAACCTAGTTGAATAACATGACACAGATGATAAATTAAGAAGATCAAATAAGTTTTCGTTAAGATGAGAGTCGTTAAGATATATATTTACCTTATGTCGACGAGCATGTAGACATATAACAGACTGTCAATACAGTAAGAGGTCCAGATATCACCGCTGCCACGGATTATTGCTCTGTATTACAGTCGGTCCAGAACAGGTTGATGTGACAAAACCAGACAACTCTGTAGCTGTAGAGAACAGAAACCTGACATTGACCTGTACTGCCTCCGCTTATCCCAACGTGTCCTTCACCTGGGACTACAGTGATGGAACACCTGTAGATGGCAGCAGGGGGTCAGTGACAGGATCTTCTACCTGGTGGTACCAGACTCTCACCTTCATGCAAAAAAAAGACAAGACAACCGTGAGATGTCAGGTCAGAAACACAAGGACTTTGACAACTAAGACTGGTTCTGTGTCACTGGATGTCAAATGTGAGTATTCTTAAGTATTCTCAGTATTCCCTTTAAAGAATAACGACTCAACATGATGATGATGTTCAGTATTTGGTATGCGCTTGTGCAATCTTTTGTATATTCGCGTTGTGTTGATGTGCATCGGAAAACCATATGGAATTTGCATATAAATGTAAACAGTGTTGCCTAGGAGAGTGATATACAGAGGAGATTATCACTCTTGGATACATTGTGTATACTATCGGATGAACGGATTTCATTGGGTGAGGAAATACTGAGCTAATTGTATTGAGATCATTTTGGTCATGGGCTCTGCTGTTACATCTGTACTTTGATCATAGTTGCTGTCTTGGTTGTTTCTGTTTCAGACCCCCCGCCTGTCCCTCCTTCCATCACACAGTTTCCGGATGTGATGTTTGAAGGAGACCCACAGACAATCAGCTGCTCGGTGACAGGAGGAAATCCTCTAGCTACAATCACGTGGTCCTGTCCTGGCACTGGATCTGCATTGGTCAGTGACAGTGGTCAAACCAGGACATCTACTCTCTCCTTTACTGTCAGCAGGAGTCAACATGGTCAACAGTGTCAGTGTCTGGGGACGTGGCAGTATGGAGGATACAACTACACTGATGTCAGGACATTCAACGTCAGCTGTGAGTATCATTAACTGTTTCTGAATGGACTGACAGGTACAAAGAGTCATTCTACCAACAGCGACACGTATCAAGGACAAAACCTGACGTATATAATGGACCCTTCAGGTTTTGGCCAGGCCATGGATTTACAGGAATACCACGGATTCCAAATACAATTTACACTTTTTGCTGTATTCCGTTCCTTTGTTCCATTGAATTGTAGATCAGTATTGGTTGAGATCCCTTTGTTTCCTATCTTCAGCTGTACGATCTCCTCTCCTCGCTTGGGATATAGTACATGTAACTAGGGATTTTAACCGCAAGCTATCCTTTCTCTATATAGTTAATGTTGCACTTTCAATTGTAAGATGAATTACTGTTAATACGGTATGTATACATGTTATTTGTGGGGATATTTTAGACGCAGCAGTTTAGAGATAGATGGCACCTTTGTCAAGAACAGAACACACAGCTTGACATACATGTCAGCTCTTTAGAATATAATCAGTAAACATACAATCATTTGTAATACCACGTAATTAACATTTATACTTCAGGTCCCACTAGCACGGAACCACTTAAAGACCACTATAACGTGACAGGTGTAATAGCTGGAACCGCAATAGGAACCCTATTTCTTACCTTGCTGATTGAAGGACTAGTTCTAACGGTACTCTACAGAAAGGGGCTCAGGTGTGGAAACGTCATGAAAGGTAAATCTCAGTAGCATTGGAAGTAGATTCAACAAGCGTTGTGGAGATATTTACAGACGCGATGTTTCAGTTCAGACTTTAACTGATAAAGATGAGTGACATTGTGAATTAAAAAGAACATAATGAACTCATCATGTAGTTTGAATGTATACACAATCCATAATGGCACGAAAAGTGTATCACCAATTGCTGCTTATATGCAGTGTGTTGTTTATTGGATCTTTCTCCTTCGCATATCTCATTATTCGTTTGCAACATTTCCCAAATGCCATATTCGTCATTTGTGATATTTATTTTACAGGGCACTATATATGTATTCTCTTCTTTCAGGATCTGCTTCAGCAAAAAAGGTAGGTTAAGCATGTAAATAAAACGTTTTGAAATAATCTGCTTTGAAATAAAGTAAAATGATATTTCTACTAAGATCTCAACATCAACTATTTTAATGTGTTTATGTCCATTAAAAGTTCAATAAACCGACCTTACTTGCCTTTGAAGCACCAGAAATCCGAAAATTGAAGAAATGGAAAACACAGGATATTCATCCCTTGGTAGGTTAAACATTTCTAGTCGAGATGATCACTGATAGCGAGATGTACTAATACCGTTAATATATGTTCATGTTGATTTGTTGCAGATCACATCAATAGTCCAGCTGAATCCCCAGCCATGGATACGGAGGGGTCGGAAAGACAACATTACACACAGCTGAAGGTGTATGAGAATACAAGCGGTAGATAGATACAATTTCTTACATTACTATAGGACTCAGTCATAAGTGTAATAAGGGCATGCCATAATGCAGGTATTATATGTATCGTTGTGTTTACGTTTGGAAGGGTATATAATAATGTGTATATATTTTTGTTAGTCGATGCAAAACCAGAAACAAGTACCTACGAAGACATGACAGAGACGCCTCCTATACCATACGAGTCCATCAGCGCTTCTCCATACCAGAACAGCGGCTCTCAACCTCAAGGTACCCACAACTGAGGTGATCTATCGTATTGAATGAGAGGAAAGTTACAATAATAAATTGTACACAAGAAGCAGTGTTAGTTTCCAACAGATACCTGAGATTCTGTTCTAGTGTAGAATGCAATATTTTTATTTTGGGCATATTGTGTACGATAATAATGTGACACATTTAACTGATCTTCTGTTTTCAGATCCTCACTATAGGAATGCGTGAAGAAACACCAAAGGTGACGGACACTATGTCACGGGATAGTAATACACAGCCTGTGAACTGATAGGTTTCTTAGCTCTCATGTAGTGTGTTTTAATGTCATCATTTGCTCGTTACCTCATAGTATTCCCCTATGTTATTTCCCAGTAGTATGTACATTATAGTAAATAAACCCAGAACATAACAGTCGCTTATGTTACTTGCATGGAATCCGACTGGTAGAATTTCTTGCACTGCCTTTTATCCACATTGACGGTGCACACATTAACATGTTTATTGCGTATGTTTTTTTTCTATCATAGTAGATGAGTTCATGAGAAGATATGTAATAATGAAGGATGAATGGTGTTCATTGTCTTTTTGGTATCAAATTTATTTTTAAAGATTACGAGTTATATCGGAAATAAGCACTGAATATATACTGCACTCGTATTACCATCGACACTTTCGTATTTAGACAACATTTTCTAAAGTATTATTGCTTATTTACTGTCTTATTGAACTGGAAAGGTTCCTCCCATACCCACTGCACCAAATACACACTTATTACCCACGTGGTCAACGTATGGGTAGTTGCATACTAATATCGTACGTCACACGAGTGTTGACGCGTTGACCTGTGTCGTAACGACTTGACCTGAGATTCTAACGATTTGATTGGATAACCGATGACCTCTCAGTTAGGTCAGCTGTGACGGAACTGCTTGTTCATTGATAACAAACACGTGAATTCATTCATTCTACAACTTAGATGCATTGTAGGAATGTAAACATTGCGAATGTTGCCGTGTTGCTATTTGATTGTGAGTCGAACTGAGACAATATATCCGTCGAAAAACATAAACGCAATGTTTCCACCAGTGATGTTAGCCGAGTGAAGCAGTTGCAAACAAAGAAACGGGGTGCTACGGAGTAGTTTACTGTAGGAGGCTGTACGAGAGGTGATGCCAACTGACATGCATAGTGACGTCGGTTACCAAGGGGACAGACGAGAATGGCGTAGTGACGTCAATACAGTGTGACGTCATGCAAAAGTGTACTTCAGAACAAAATTGTTCCGCAACCTCTTTATGAAACCGGTTTCGGTTTGAAACCATATCAATAAGAAAAATACGCTATTTTGTCTATTCAATGCATGTAAGACGTGGGTAATAAATAAAATACCACACTCGGTCTCATTACATACGAATTATACGAAACTTGTGACCTTCCTATGGTTTCCGACCTCGCTTTCGCTCGGTCAGATACCATAGGTCGGAAACCATAGGAAGGTCACGAGTTTCGTATAATTCGTATGTAATGAGACCTCGTGTAGTATTCTCTATGTATCCATCCATATTGGGAAATTATCTGCTGTGTTTAGATTCTGCATAAAATATTATAAATAATAATGTAAGTAATACAACAAATCCGCAAACTGCTACACAGACTCGCTTGGTTTGAGATTACAGTGTCTTAATCAGTCGTTTGAATATCATGTCAACAGATATGGTGAGCATTTTTGTTGCTAGTGGACTACTTCAGAACACGAGAGTCAGTCGTCTGTATGTGCGTATTGTAAGCCAAGGTCAGTTACACGGATCCATATTATGTGTGTTTTGTATAGGTCTTTGCACTAAGGTGCCAAGTACAGGCTATTGCCATATCTATTAAAGAACTGTGGCAACGGAGTACGCCTAACGTCATTCGTCGCCTTACTTCAGCATTGCGTCGACGTGTTTTTGGCGTGTATTGAAGCCAATGTTGGCCACACTCACTATCGATTCATCATTTGATAACATTTTTATATAAAGAAAACGCCTTATATATGTTTTTCTTTTCTTTTCAAAACTGTATGCTTTCTTATGAGCGCTAGTTTATATTCTTACCTCAGCCTGGGCATAATATGAAAACGGCTCTGAGCTGTAACATACACACTTTTCTTAAAAATGAGCCTACATGTTGATGCATGTTAAACATTACAGAAAATAACATTGCAATTTTCCGCTGATTAAGTATTTAAAAAAATCGGACGAAACCTATTCAGAGGAGAGGTTACGACTAACACTCCGTATTTCAACGTTACAGGTTCAGGGCAAACCTCTACCTATTGTAGTACACATACGAACATCGTCAGTGTCGGGTCTTGAAGTTTGTAAAGACATCAAGTAAACATACCAAACTAGGAGACACTATTCAATAGTCAAGAGGGATCCGCCATTAGGGAAACGTAGAGGTATTCCACATCGTCAGAGTCGGGTCTTGAAGTTTGTAAAGACATCAAGTAAACATACCAAACTAGGAGACAATATTCAATAGTCAAGAGGGTCCGCCATTCGGAAAACGTAGAGGTATTCCACATCGTCAGTGTCGGGTCTTGAAGTTTGTAAAGACATCAAGTAAACATACCAAACTAGGAGACACTATTCAATAGTCAAGAGGGACCCGCCATTAGGGAAACGTAGAGGTATTCCACATCGTCAATGTCGGGTCTTGAAGTTTGTAGAGACATCAAGTAAACATACCACACTAGGAGACACTGTTCAATAGTCAAGAGGGACCCGCCATTCGGGAGACTTAGAGGTATTCCACATCGTCAGTGTCGGGTCTTGAAGTTTGTAAAGACATCAAGTAAACATACCAAACTTGGAGATACTATTCAATAGTCAAGAGGGACCCGCCATTCGGGAGACGTAGAGGTATTCCACATCGTCAGTGTCGGGTCTTGAAGTTTGTAAAGACATCAAGTAAACATTCAACACTAGGAGACACTATTCAATAGTCAAGAGGGGTCCGCCATTAGGGAAACGTAGTGTTATTCCACATCCAACGGTGCTGGATGCTTTCTTGTAGTAATAAATGGATATGGCTGAAATACAATGAGACATATCAACCGTGAAATGTGCATCCGATAATCCTTGACATGGGTTGATTGGTTGCAAACTCACCCAGTTAATTATGAATAGGAATTTACAATATAGACTGGTTGGTGACTTTGCAATCTCATTTCTCCACACAATGCATTCGTATATAAGGCAAATGTTCTGTTATTGAAGGATCACTAGAGCATGACATCAATATAGAACGAATGTGTCCCCACTGAGCTACCACATATGTGATCTAAATATAGCCCGTCCTACCCGACAGCAATGAGGAAGTATGATGTGTGATATTATTAGTGCACTGTATTCAGGTTTCCACCAGACGTAGATAGGATGCTTCATGGATAAGATACAAATTAGAAGACCATACCAGCTGAATCCAGGTGAGTGTTGATTTTAGGCAATGCAACAATCATCCGGGTACTTTTGACCCGTGGCCCAAACGGAGACCCAGGCAAAGACAGCGCAGTAGTCGGACACAGTGAATCCAAGAGGGTTTGATACGTTTAGGATGGGATATTAAGTGTACGTATTTTCAGGTGCTGGCGTTCTCTTTCAGGGAGTTATGAAACAACAAGAGGTGTAGGTATCTATATTACACTCTACGATAACCTCCATTACTTCTAGCAGAAACACATTTGGCAATACGCCAGCGAGGGTCCTCCTACCTGTATGTGTACACAGGTGACCACCAGTTACATGTACATATGGATTATGAGTGCTGCATGACTTGTCAGCACTCACCGTTGAAAGCTTTACGCAAACAGACGGCCCACAGGAACGTTGTACTACACACACAAAGGCGGCCTGGTGAGATTAATCTGCATTTTACCACGGAAATATCACCAGCATATCCTGCCAGTTCAGGGCAACGGATTTCGTTTAGGTCGCTCACGAATATAATGACTGCTACAAGTGGTGGAGTTCCAATTACGGATTGACAACATATTTCAGTTATCGTTCCAGAACAAATATCAATGTGTCATGACAATATGACATATGCCCGGTTCGATTCCTGACATGGTTGGCAAGGGCGTCTCACGGTAGATACTACTGGAAGATTGATACAACTCAGTGTACTACTCAAGTGTACAAGTCAAGTATAATGATATTGCTTCCTACGAGGCACTTTCCAATGACAAACCAGGGGCGCAGATAGTGGACTTTGAAATGTCCTTACGAACAACAAGCAATCTGGTGTCGATACCATTATTGCGCATGAAAGGAATACATTTGGAAAAGTGACAGCATGGAGTCGATGTGTTTACAACTGGCCACGTTTCAAACTCGATGAATCGAATTAGGTGCATTGAATTTGGAAGCTGACCTGTAAGTTTCGACAGACCAAAGGTAGATGACTTGTCGTGTTACCTTTGGATAAGAGAGTGAGTTTGGCTTAACGTCATTTTGCACATGCTTAGAGAATGAAGAATACAGAAGAATGAATAAATAAAGAATTGGTTTTATGGGAAACCAATAAGAGAGACAACATATATCGAAATCCCTACTAAACCAGACATGTGACAATGATACTGATTGTTAAATTCAACCAGAAATCATTTTCTTTACAGAGACATGACCAATCCGACCAGTTTTTTCATGGAAACTTTGCATGCGGGTTTGATGATGTATGTTATCGGAATTGTCATCACTGGTAGGTTTATTCTATTTTTGTAATACTCTTACACACACATAGGTGAGATTTTACCTTATTAACTAACTTCCACTTTCCTCGATGTGTTCGGGTCAGATCCAATACAATATCCGTTTTTACATTTCTAATACATTTAGCCAAATGCAAAAAATGAACAATCTCTACCCTGTGTTGTGTTTTCTCCATTGTCCGAGAGGATTCGGTGAAACAGTGCACCTCCTTAGAAGTCCTTTGCGTCCGTAGAAATCAGTGAAATAATATCTGGGGTATCATGTCACTAGCAACCGAAGAGGAGGCATTTGAATGTAAACTGGCGCTGGCATTAGTACTGACTTAATGTGCAATCCGTGTTTGGATCTTAGTTCGGGTTTAAAACTAATGTACGGCCATTGTAAAAAGGTCTGTTTTAGTTTATGGCTAATCTTTCCATATGCTTTGCGAAGTGTCTATAGAGAAATATATATTTTTAAGTGTTAAATTGTAAACCATTTAGGTTCGTGTTTGTGGATTGTTTCTTCCTGTATAGTAGGGATATATCAGAATGAATGCATTGTAGTTGCAGAAATTGTCGAACGGGTCAGAAAACACTGTAGGATGTAATGGGTCAAACTGGTCGTGATGCTGGAGATACTTCTTTATAAAAGATACATTGTCATTTCTCACTGTCTT